CCTCAGAAGTTTTCTCGCGACACCATGCAAGTGTCTTTTTGACCGTGTTTTTACCAATAAAAAAAATTTGTTTTATGCAAAACTAAATTCTGAGGCCTTGACAAGCCTTAAAATATCAAATTGGATTACAACTACACCTTAAAAGTAGTTCCAATGTAAAAAATGGGTTCTAGTGTGGCAAAAGGAATCGAACCCGTTTCCTTCGGATTTCCAACCCGTCGCTCTAACCACTCGGCCACACCGCTCTCTTCCGAAGGAAGAGACCGAGCTCGCTTTTGTTGCCGCAGATTTTTTTCCTCGAGAAAAACATTTATCAGTCTGTCGGGAAAATAACGGCGGATCGCCGCAGCAAAATGTCTCGCCTCGCCGCTATCGCGCACCAAATCCCAAGCCGCGGCTTGCAGTCGCAAAGCGATGATGGGCGATTCCGAGGCGCGACGATCCGCCGTTGTTTTCCCGACAGACTGATATTGAAAAAACTCGCTGATAGACCAAAATTAGGCAGCTAATTTATAGATATTCTGAATCAGAAAATTTTTGCGAATTTTTTGATATATATCTCGACCGGTAATTCCACACCCCATAGAAGTACTTTCCTTGTAAGATTTCTGTCATAACGATGAATTTATCCAATCAAAAACTTCAATGTCTCTCCATTGTAACCGACAAAACCGTCGTAGAATAACAAAGTTACAGTCGGTGGATAATTGGAGTACTTGACCAAAAATTGGTTTCACTTCTGAACCTTGATGGAGAAACGTTTTTTGGATCGTTTTCTCACTTATAACCATGATCTGTGAGTAGAAGATCAAGGTCAATTTTTGCGTCGATCTTTTGGCCTCAAATTTTTTCGGGGGTAAAATACGGCGTTTGTTATATATATGTGTATATATATACATGTATATAGATAGATATAACATAAGGTTTGAAATTTAGATTTGGCCAAAGATGGGGCAGTTTAAGAATAAGATTTTCTGGGAGATATGCGGGATTTTTAGCTCGCGCTTTGCTCAATTTACAGTTTTTTTAGTTCAAAAAAATCAAAAATTTCTCCAAGTATTTCGCACTAGACTTTTTGGTCTAGAAAATCTCAAAAATCCCATCAAGATTGATTACAAAAAATGCACATTGTTCCTCCCTCTTCTGCTCCTCGAAACGTCTGACCTTCACGCCGTTCCCGACACCTTTCGTTCCGAAAAAAGAGGTGAAAAAGTTCGCTTTCGGTTCCAAAAAAATCCCATAATCGACGCGCGAAAAAAACTCTTTCCGAAACAGTCTAAGGTGGGGAAAAAAGGCTGTGGGGGGATCTTCAGAAGATTGTGTTTCAAGTAGCCTCCTTGTAATTGGTTTTACTTCATTCAGGTACCCGCCGAAGACGGGTGGGGATGTTCGTGTTTATTAGGTGAATTTGGGAGGGGGATTTCTGGGGGGAGATGAGGGGTGTGGGGTTGACGTCGGAGATGTAGTTGATAAAAATGGAGGAGAAAAAAGAGTTTAAACTGCAATACGATTTTTTCGACTTCCTGACTTTTCGGGACGACGACAGTTCGGGACAACACAAAATCGATCGCAACGAGGCGTAGGGCAACTGCATACCCAAAAAAAGGTTGTAGGAAGTGTCTACAAGACCTGACAAAGCCGCTGGATGGTCGGCGGACCCTCGGCGAAGGCTCGGCGGAGACTTGGCGAAGGCTTGCAATGTGCCCATTTTTTCTAATTTTAGCTATTACTAAGTTAGTGTTATGTATCCTGAGTTACTGTAACATATAAAAGACTAAAATTTGCGGCAAAAAACGAAGATCCGCATCTTTTGTCTAGGTATTATTGATGTGAGTACATGTAAAATGTGTTCCTCAAAATAGGTGACAAGCTATAATAGAAGCCGATCAATCATATTATTTCTACTAACTAAGCCTTCTCCTAGCCTCCTCCGCATACAACAGCAAACCGACGCAATCCATAGTATCTTTGACCCGAACTGTCGCTGACCCGAAAATTCGTAGCGCTCATTTTTGTGGCAAAAAAGAGGCTTGTTTTGAGAATTTCATTGAATATTTTGGCGAAAATCAAAGTTTCATTGTAAAATACGGTTGCTGATTTTTTTGATTTCTTAATTTATTTTCGTCAATTTTAGTCATCATTTCTCACAAAAATATCCAAAAAAGACTTTTTTAAGTTAAAATTTTTAAAAATAATTGTTTTTCAATATCACAACGCCTCAAAGAAAAAACAGAGGCCTCAAAACTGTTAGATTTTACCTAATTTCTCATAAAAAATGAAAATTTTTACCCAGATTTTGAAAATCAAAATCATCATCATGTTTGCCATTTTTAAAACATTAGCTATCAAGATTCAAATATTTTAGATACAATCATCGTATTTTAAATATCAAACAACTCTGTTTTATCCCACATCTTCTCATTTTCTCAGCCTTCTCGCCAGAAGTCTTTCGAATATTCAAAAACATTGCATTTCCTAACCTAAAAACCCAATTTTCTCCGCGATTTTGTAATTTCATTTATATTACAAAACCCGAGGCGGGAGGGGGTTTCATTATAAGGGTCAATCGCGTTATTACGAATACTTTTACATAAGCGGTAGACAAGGAAATTTTTTGGTTTTAAAATACGGAATACTTCACTAGGAGGGTCAAAAAGTCTTGACATGGACGAAAACAGTGCAAAGATTATTTTCGGTCATGTTTGCAGAGATCTGGTCAAAAAATTCTTTTTTTTTCTCACCGTCTTTCCTCTTCTTTCACATTCTCTCAACTACATAAGTAATATAGTTCAGAAAACTGTAAATTTTTCGGTAATTATGGTCCGAAGCACGCTTAAAAAATTAGCAAAAAATTAGCTGTATAAAGCTATTATATATTTTTTTCATTTCATAGTCAAAATCTTCAATTCTGGCCAAAGTTCACCAAAATTTATGGGTTTTTTCCCATTAATCTCCGCTTTCAATCATCAAGAATTAAACAGAAATTCTGTTTTTGTCATTGTCAAGAATTTTGGTGGCTCTAAAACCTGCTGCCAATCATATCCTTGGCGTTTTCGGTCTGTGGCCGGGATTTCTAAAATTTTTGCTTCCTACAGCTCCAAATTTTAAATGACTAACTGTCCCCAGTATTTTTCCATATTATCGCAGCCAACGCAACCCCCAACAAGCCCCAAACCAGTCCTCAACGCTGCCGAGTCGAGGGAAAGCCGTGAAAATCCACACGCAGTCCCTCAATAATCATCGCGGCGGATCAGTGTGCCTAATTTCCAGTTTTACCGGATTATTATTGCCCGATTCCAATCTACTCGTTCGCACATCAGTTAACGGGCTTGTTTAGGTGCGAAGGAACGCGTAAATCCGACGACGGGAAATTTGTCAAAAAAAAAGCGGCGAATTGGAAAAAACCAAATTTTTTTCACCGGCGGGGTATTCGAATGGGTTGCGGTTTGGTTGCCGGAGGGCGGATTCCCTCGCCGTCTATATATTTGCTTTTGTCGCGCAATCACCGTGGCATTGTTTGTTTTCCAGGAGCACATGTGATGACATTGCATGCGGGAGAAAGATTGCTTTTGGCATTGTGCCATATCGGCGAAAAACATGTCGCATGAAGGTAGTGGAATTGTGGGACATGAAAATTTTAAATATAAAATGCTCAAATTTAAACTCTATGGCCACTGGTTGCATTTTACTTTTGACTTTGAAGCACTTTTTTACCGAGGGAAACACTTGACTCAAACTTGCTTCAATTGTTATTAAGGTGTATCGTCGTATATGAGAACTTATTTTAACCTTGAGGGGAATTTAATCCAACATTGGGTCAAGTGTTCCTCTCGTTCTAATTTTCAAATTTTAATAAATTTTTTTGCCTTTTCTACATAGGACGATTATATTATACATTAATAAGTTCAACGAGCTTATCTAAATCTAATTTCCTTGGCAGTTTCTAATTTCTGAGTCAAGTCTTCCTTTCGTATACCGAAATCGTAATAGAGGCTTCTAGAGAATGCTAGCCTCCGGAATGACGTATACACTTTTCTTTTTTTCAATTTGCATTCCTCGGAACGAAGATAAAAAATACCTTTCCCGTTACTTAATACCCTAAGGCACTGTCACTCACTTTTTTTTCTTTAAATGACTCCGATTGAATCCGGTTGGATTTCATCTACAAAAGCGGAAAGAAATCAGCGTCCCGCTTGGTCTTCGGGCGCTGTTTGAATAGCGGATCAATTTCGCAGCGGTTTTTCGAGCCCCCGCTGGGACCGAAAAGGGCGGACCGCCGGATCCATCGACTCAATTTGTTGGGAAAGCCGGCTCTCTTAGTTCACACGCCGAATGTTTAGAGTGGACAGTCAGGAGGGTACCGGTTGTAATTTCAGGCTGATTGGACATGACTTTTAGACTTAGACAGCTGATTTTGAAGACATTTCTGGTCATATTATACTTGGCATCCTCCGTTTCTCAGACTCAAAATTTTCGTGGTTTATTTTAGCCTCAAAATGTTTTATAGGCCTCAGAAAGCACTGCAAGGTCAAAGCGATGTCCAAAGTTTATTTCAAAGTGTTTGAAAACAACGAATTTTTTTTTTGCGAAATTCAAAGCTCCCAGCCAAATTTTTAGTAGAGGAATGCCGCGAATTAGATATAAAACTGTACAAGCCCCTTGCGTACACTTCTCACGTTTTCCTCTTGCAGATCCGTCAAAATGAATATTTTTAATTAGATCACACAATGGCATCCAGTTTCGCAGCCTCCTTTCGGTTGAGCTTTGATTTTCAGTTTTGAGTTATTCAAAGCCGGATTTGTTTTTCTTAAAAGTTAAGCTATGACACTTTTTATTTCCTGGTTATCATCCAGCACCATGTTCCTTACTTTTCGTGGACATTTTATACGACCAAACATGCTTCCTCGTCCAAAACATTTTCATCGTATAACTTGTCACCCGCTCGTGATTTTGACCTAAAATTTCGAATAACAGTGGGTTATGGCATGTTTTTCAGAAGGATGTCGCCGCATCCTGACAAAGCGGGTCTGGTGTCGGAATGCGAGTATTCGGAACAGAGTATGAAGCACTTCCGGAGGGTGGCCTTCCTGGCCGTCGCTTTGTCCACCATGACCATGTTGGCATGTATTGTGGTCCTTCCATTGTCCTATCAATACATCCAAAGAGTACAGTCTTCTGTCAGCAGTGACGTCGAGTTCTGCAGAGTGAGTTATATTTTGAAAAGTCTTCTATTAGAAGTAATGCAACAGGTATATGTCATGTTTAAAAAAGCCCTTAGGAATTGTAAAATACGTTGCCTTTATTTACGCTTATTTTCAGAGCCGAAACCGTGACTTGTGGACCGAAGTCGTCACTGTTCAATTGGGCAAAGGAGCTCATGAACAGGCCAACAGACTTCGTCGTGACACCGCCGCTGGCAAGAATGGCCGATGGCTCTTCGGACACTTTGTCCAGAATACTGACCAGTAAGCCATATTCTTCTGTCTACCTTCTTTTTCCTACTCTTTTCCCGATCCTTATTTCTTTAGACTTGCCGCTCGCGGAGTTCGTCGTCAAGCTTCGTACGAGAACGCCGCTCCAGCTCCCTCTGACAACTACAGTGGCGCTGGATCCGCCGGAACCACCGCCGCTCCTGCCTACAGCGCTCCAGTCGCCGCCGCTCCCAAGAAGGAGGAGTGCTGTGGTTGCCAGCTTGGCCCACCAGGACCACCCGGAGAGTCGGGAGTTGATGGTCAGCCCGGTTTGGACGGAAAGCCTGGACAAGACGGTGAGCCAGGACAAGACGCTCCACCAGGCCAGAAAGCCGCCCCATGTGTCCGCGAATGCCCTCCCGGCCCACCTGGACCAGCTGGATCACCCGGAGACAAGGGACCAAAGGGATACCCCGGAGAGCAGGGAGAGCCCGGAACCAACGGAAAGCCCGGCCCCAAGGGACCTTTGGGCAAACAAGGACCACCCGGCCCACCTGGACTGCCCGGCCGACCCGGAGACAAGGGAGAGCCCGGCAAACATGTGCCCGGAGTCGCTCCACCAGGCCCTCCAGGACGTCAAGGAGAGATGGGACCACCCGGACCACCAGGACCACCCGGAAGCAAGGGAAAGCCCGGAGAGCAAGGACCACCCGGAGCCGAGGGAGACCAAGGAAACCCAGGACCTTACGGAAAGCCCGGCGCTCCCGGTCCAATTGGCCCACCTGGCGCCGCTGGTGCTGTTGGAGCTTGCGATCACTGCCCCAAGCCTCGTACTCCACCCGGCTACTAAACGCAATATATTCCTCCAGTCTGATTGTTAATTATATGAGGAAGAGGGCTTAACGGCCTCGAGGCCTTAGGCTCACCAAATCCCCGTTGCAATGCCATTCATCACTTTTTCCCCGTTAGTCTCACCTTGACATAGCCACAAATCACCATAGTAATTTATCGAGAACTTGTGGACATTCAATGTGAGTCGCCACTAAATATGTGCAACATTCTTGCCCCCCAATTCCCATTTATGTGTTTGTAAATTTGTGAAAAGAGTATATTGACCCGCTTTCCTGTTAATACTTCCGGCCAATAAAGTTATATATAACCCGAGATTCGCTGATTTTTTTTGTGAACGTCCATTATGAAAAAATCCAAAGAATGACAGCTACACATTAATAGACGCTTGAAAGCTTGAATAATGTCCGACAATTTTTTAATGAAGTTTATTAATGTACATAGAAAAAGAAGTCAATATTTACAAGCATGGCATATTATATTATGAAGCGTTACTATTAATTGAAGCGAAATCCAGCCCTCTGCATCATCTCTCTGCTCTCAAACTTCATCTTGTTTATCCGCTCCATCTTCAGCTCGTGGATTGTGGGATAGAGGACTGGAGTGGGTGCGAAATGTCCGGGAACTGTCTTCTGGAGGGTGTAGAAGTCGATTTTGGGCTTTTCTTGACCCATAATCTTGTCGAAATCGCCCATCAAGTCATCAAAGAAGCTGTTTGGAGCCATTGCAAGTAGAGAAGGGGCTTAGAGAATGGTTGAAAGGCTGAAATACGGAATTATAAGAGCGAAAGAAGTTTGCTGGAATCTCGAAAATAAAGTATTTTACAAATGAAAAAGGATTGGTTTTACAATTTATATGACACAGAGAGCCCTTATATACCCTGTTGTAAATTTTTCTGCGTTTTTGATTTGTTTTTGATTTTATGATTTTCAGCAGAAATTTGGCAGATTTCTGTTAAAAATTCGATTTTTTGTTACGCAATTAGCCTTTTTCTGCCTTCTTCAACGGAATACCCAAGTACTGATGTTGTTGCGCAATCAATTTTTTCTGAGGTCAATTCAAAAATTTCAAACTTTGATTTTAAATTGATGGAAATCTGAAGATTTTAGTTTGGTGCGATTGTTAAACTAGATCACGTAATCGCTCAAAAACAAAATTCCACGCGATTTCTTCCCGCTTCTGTCAACGCCAAATCCGCGAAAACGGAAGAAAAATTGGAGAACTTTCTAGAAGAAAAACAGAATTCTTCCGGAACACCCAAAACATAAAGTGTGATAGTAAAAAAAATTTTACAATCTCACAAGAAAATGCGTCGTATTTTACAATCTCAATTCAGCCTTTGTTACTTTTTCCATCAACCTGTCAATCAACCCCAATTTTTTGGTGGTATAGCCCATCAAATTTCATGGAGTTTTTCAAAACTATCAATGAAATTTCGCGATATTATTAATCACCCAACGCGAGCTTTATCGAGTCATTTCCGCCCATAAAAATGGGGAATTCTTCGACCAATCTTGACGTAAACAATGCGTGGGATTCGAAAGTAGAACACAGAATTTGAAGGGGAATTTGTTGTTTAGTGTTTGATAAGGCGGATTGTGCTCGAACATGTTGTAAGAGAGCAGGTTTTTATTTCCGGCTTCTTGGACGACTTGGATTTTGCTGAAATTTGGCTCAAATTGTTTTTTTGTTTTTTTCTCGGCCTCGTTTTTTTTCATTCTATTTTTCCAAAACAAATTAAGGAAAGCGTTTTCAGCAGTTTGCTTCTCAACGACCAATGCTATATTGTTTCTTCTATTTTGTTCTCAAAAAAAATTCCGTATTTTTGACCAAAGCACAAATGTTATTTTAACCAATTTTCCTTCAAAATTTATCTAAGAGGGGAAGTACTTCAAGTATGACGCTCAGATTTTCTTTAAATTTTGCATACACATCGGGTATGGACTAAATGTCAATTCCTGAAAGTTTTAGCTCGCGCTTTGCGGGCGCCGCCGAGATATCGAACAAATTTTGCCGCCGAGAGAGCACGCTCAACGTGGAGAGCGGTCTGAGAGAAAAGCGCTTTGGCCATAACTTTGGCAGTTTCGTGCGGAAAAATTTGATTTTTTGTATAAACATTATCCTTTACGGTAGAAATAGGCATGAAACTTTTCGTGCCGAAATTCGGCAAAATTTTGATCTAAAAATCTCGGTTGTTTCTGCAAAGCCCGAGCTAGGACTCTCGCATATATCTTAGAAAAAATTATTCTGAATTTGTGCCAAGTTTCATCAAAATCTGGGCGTCGCACTTGGAGTACTTCCCCTGTAAGTAAATGCGTTAAAGGTTTTGTCGATTTGATTAAAATTTTAAGTTTTTGTTATATTTTGCATACATTTTTCCAAAAATAAAAGATGAAAAATCACGTGAAATAAACTCGAGAGTTGTTCATAACAACTTGGTTATTCATATTTTGCAAGGAAGCAACTTTTCCTTTGTTTTTCGAATTCCTGATGAGTCACGGAGGAGGGTGGCCAAAAAATTGTTTGCTGATGAGTGAACGGAACACTTTCTGAACTCGAATATTAATAAAAGATTATGTGGTTCATGTTTATGATTAATTGGACAATTTTGGTTTACTTTTTTAGTTCTACCTTGTACTTTGAACCATGTATGTAGTTACACAATGCCAAATTTTTGCCTGTTGAAGTTTCAGTTTCTGTTTGAGAAAGCGGATTCTAGAGTTTGGGCTTTTATCACAATAGGACTGTAAGTCAACTTGCAATTCACGTTTTGCCCCTAAAACCCGGTTTGGCAGCTAATTTTTACATATTCTTAATCAACATGATTTAACAATGTTTTTTGAGTGTCCCGATAAAAACTAAGAGCCCCTACTAGGCGTTCCAGAAAATGCGTGCACTTTTTGTCGTGGGCCGCACTGTGCACAAAATTGCCTTCTTGCGGGGTGCATTTGACCTTTTGCACCGTGCAATTGCAATATCGCAGCGACGCAGGCTTTTCTCAACGGAGCCGGCGCGATTTTTTAGAAATTGCACAGTGCAAAATGTTTCGAAACGGATCGCGTCGCGCGGGCAACACGAAATTTTGCACTGTGCGGTGCGAAAAAGGCGGAAAAAAGTGAACGCACTTTCTGGAACGACTAGTATGAAACAACATTCCTTGTGAGGTTGCAAGGAACTTGTGTGTCGTGCCCTACAGTAACCATGAAACAGAATCTAAGCAAACAAATCTCAGAACTCTTTCCTCCGAAATCTCCATGGATCTTGTCGTTTTTGATGCCGTAGAATTGCCATTTCTGTAGTTTGTTTTGTTTATTGTAACCTTCCCGAACTCCGAACAGACCTTTTTCTATTTCCATTTCGAAAACCCCGAAATTCGGCGGTCCTCGTGCAGAGTTTTCATAGGCTTCGAACTACAAAATAGAAGCAAAAATGGAGTAGAAAAGGGCTCTCTCTCCGGAATTTTTCGCCCATTTCTCGCGAGGAAATGCCCTGCGGGTTTTTCGGGCCAAAGTTTTAGTGTCTTTGATGATTTTGGAAAGGGATATTTTTGGATCTTTTGAGACAAGTCAGGTGTTTTTAGCAGAAATTTGGAAAAACATTACGTTTTTTGGAGGTTTTTTGTTTATCGGTCGAACTGAACTTTACAATCTTTCAGTTTGAACTTTGTTAAGGAAGTAATGTTTCAAAGAAAAAGTGGGGTTGGGCAACGATACTATGAAACGTGTCGGTTCGTTGTTGTGTGCATTAGGAAGGCTAGGAGAAGGCTTAGTTAAATTGCTGAAATAATAAGATTGGTCGGGTTCTGGGATAGCTTATCACATTTTTTGAGGTATTTTACAGGTACTCACATCAGTAATTTCTTGATGAAAGTCACGTATCTTCATTTTTTGCCCTCAAATTTTGGTCTTTTATATAGTTCAATAACTTGGGGTAAAGGAAATTAACGTTACTAATGGCTAAAATTTAAAAAAATGAAGATATTGCAGTCTTCGCCAAGTCTTTGCCAAGTCTCCGCCAAGCGTCCGCCGATCATCCAAGGGTTTTGTCAGGCCTCGTAGACACTTCCTATTACCTTTGTTTGTGTATTTACCTGCCCTATGCCCCAAAGCGATCGATTTTGTGTCGATCCTAAATGTCGTCGACCCGAAAAGTTGAGACGCGCAAAATTTGTGTGACATTTCATCTTCCAAGCCGTAAAAGCGAGCTTCAAATTCGAATCGAATAATAGTTTTGTCTTTTGAAGAGTCATCTTTAGAGTTGTAAAATACGTATGTTCTTTTGTCTCTTTTCTTATGACAAAGCTTTGGATATTCTATTTTTCATCCTCTTTATTCGTCATCAACCCAAAAATTTTCACCTTCAACGAATCAACTGATATTTTCGCGGTCGAATTTCTATACTTTGTGTTTGTATGCAAAAGCGATTTGCTAATAAAATTTCTCCTCGATCGGTTTTGTCGCGTTTGTTTAAAATGCAGATCCTTGAACTTCCAAAGTCAGTTTTGTAGGAAACGCCGGGCCCAAGTCAAAGGTTAGGCAAACATCAGCGGTGATGACAATGATGATGTGGTTCAAAGGCGGATTGTTAGCTGATTGTTGTTTGTAAGGTGGTTCTGGATGACTTAGCTTCTCAACACACAAAGCTTTTGAGGGTCTTATCGGTTTGTCGGGAAAATAATGAGCGCTCTGTCGCATAGAAAATCGCGAAGAGAAAATGAATTGTCAAAGAAAGCTGGTGCAGGATGCAAGGACTCGCGAATTTTTGTGCACGGTGCGGATAGCGACAAATGTCCAGGCACTTTGTGAAAATGCTAATAGTAGCGCGACGATTCGCCATTATTTTCCCGACAGACTGATAGAACAAACCAAAAAAAATGTCTTAATTTCCTGCGGTTCGTTGTAGGGAGGTTTTTATATGTATTTCTTAGAACTTTCCTCAACAAGACACATGCTTTATCAAGGTAAATAAAGCTATCATCAGACGATAAGAATTCTCTTAAAAGTTCATTTTATTTACTCAATTTTGGTAATGTTTATGTTTACTGCTCACTTTTCAAATAACAATCTGTAAAATCAACTGATAAAGAAGTTTATTCCGTAAATCACTATTTCCCGCTGTTTTTTATAAGTAAGACAAACAACCAGGTGGCTTTTCGTACACAAATTGATAACCAAAATGGTAGAATACGTTTTTCTCGATCGCCGGGGTTGACAAATGCAGTAATCGTAGCTTACATAACGTTGGGAGAGTTCTTTCGGGTCAACGACAGTTTGGGTCAACATAAAATCAATTTATGCGAGGCCTAGTGCCGGTGGAGAACCAAAAAAGGTTATAGGAAGTGCCTACATGGCCTGGAAAACTGGTGGTGCCCCAGTTTTTACGCTAGCGACATGCACTTTTGTGCGAGCTTGCTCCAATTTTCACGCACGACATCAGCGACGAAATTGTCAGGACTTTACGGCGCGTGTATCAAGGTTTCAATTTCGCATCCCGACTTTTGCAAAGCCTAGGACAGAGGCCCTAAACAAAGGTTGCAGGAAGTGCGAACGAGGCCTGACGAAGCCGTTGGACGCTCGGCGAAGGCTCGGCGGAGACTTGGCGAACCCTTGCAATATGCCCACTGTTTCTAATCTGAGATATTACTGACGCTAGTTTTCTTTATTTTAACATCGAAAAGACCAAAAGTTGCTCCTAAAAACAAAGATATATAACTTTTATCTAGATATTATTGATGTGAGTATATGTAAAATATCTCGAAATTGATGATAGGCTATCCTAGGATTCGACCTTTGCTCCAAAAAACTGACACACCCAACATTCTGTAGTTTTAATGTTATATGTCATCGTTTTCCTCCAAATTGTAAAAAACCTCTCAAACTTTACAATCTCCGTGTTCTTATCTCCCCCCGGAGACCTTGTGCCCCTTAGTTTCATTACGTATGGAACTCTTGCTCGCAAACTTTTTTCCTCGAAACCTTGAGCTCCTATCAGTCCCCGCTTCCGATTCTTCGAACGTCCTTGATTTGCATTTTGATTGCATGCTGATTAGAGTTGAATTGAGCCGAGGTTACGAGGGCTTGGGAGGGGTTCCCGGGAGGGTCATAATTGATAAGCGTGGTTGAATTGGAATTTTCTTTGTTTATAGGAGTTCGTTGTCTTACGGGGGGTTACAGTACTGAAGATCTCTATTTTTTTGATGAAAATTGGGCATAGATTTTTAATGGAATTTTGTAAAGAAATTGAGAGATTTATAGGTCTCGCATTACAGAAACGACCGAGATTTTTAGATTGGAAGTCTGTCTGCAAAAATGCGATTTATTTTGCGAATCTCAGCTTACACAATTTTGTGCGAATTTCTATTTGTTTACATAAAACTCTAGGCTTACAAGGAAAGCATACTTTTAAATAGCTCGCGCTTTGCAAGCATAGTCGAGATATTCAACGATCTTTGTGGCCGAGAGAGAGAGCGCAAAACGCGGAGAGCGGCAACCGAGAAAAGCTCATTTTTTCTTTAATATTGCCAGTAGGAAAAAAATTATTTTTTTTGTGTGGACACTTACCTCCACGGTAAAAATAGATAGGAGACTTTTGATGTCAAAATTCGCAAAAAAATTCGAATTTAAACCAACTTTCGACCTAAAAATCTCGGTCGTTTCTGCAAAGTGCGAGCTAGAAGTCTCGTATATTTCATAGAAAAATTATTTAAAATTTATTCCAAGTTTGATCAAAATATGTGTGCCGCTCTTTGAACACTTGAAACGCCAAGTTTCAGGCCAAGCCAGGTCTAAAATATGTGATTTTTATCGCAATTTTCATATAAATTTCGGTCTTTTTTGTAGTCAATTTTATTCTCAATTGCTTTGAAATTTCCCTCATGCCATTCCCACCTGATTTTCATGCCATTTCCGATGAGAAACCCCTTGTTTATCCCCATTTTTGATCAAAAGCACTCTCCCATTTCATCACCATTTCTTGCGACAGCTCAACACCGCCAATGCACCCTCAACAGGTGCACAAAACACCGGGTATAAACTACAACACATCCTGTTCCCTTTTTCAAATCATATCGCAATAAGTTTGATTGAGTTCGGCGCTAGCGAAAGTCAACGGAAATCGTCGCATTCTGTCGACGAAAAACCGAGATTCATCGGGGATTTTCAGCTACTTTGATGGGGAATTGGGATTGTTTTTGATTACTCTTTAACTATTCTCAAAGATCACTCAGAAGAAGGTCTTTTTTAAGATCCATTTTCGGTCTTTTTCAGCGTCTTTTTGGGTGGAGAAAAGCCATTTTTGGGCAGTGATTCTGGACGTTTCTTTAAAAGTGATTTTCAAGGTTTAATGATCTTCTTTTTTACGGCTATTTACGCTCATATTGAGCCCTAAAAATGGCTGATTACTCCTGTAAAAAGATTGTTTTTTGATGACTTTTCCGCGAAGGTATAAAGTAGCGCGTTTATTTGTATTCGAAATAGATTCTCGGGTGATTTGATGGGCAGAAAACGGTGATTTGTTTTCAGTTTGGGAAAACAGATGTTCTACGTTGTGTTTTGAAGCAAGGAAGTTGAATTTTTTTGTTGAGCCTTGGGTGATTTTTGGTTCAGCAAAGTTCATGAAGAGAGCGAAAATTTTGATGAAATCTGGCACAAAATTCGAGTTGAATTTTATTACATAGTTACGATCTGATCCAGTGGTAAAAAACGCAACATTTTGCATCGGGAAAGTATTAAAAAATGTTGCAAAAAGCCTCACTTTTCAAGTAAAAAGCTCTGTTTTGGAGGGCCCTTTCCCTCACAAAAAGAGCGGCTTTTGAAATCGGAGTTTTTTTCACTTGGAGAGGGAGGTATTTTGCTACATTTTTGATACTTCCCGGATGCAAAATGGTACGTTTTTGCCGCTGGATTGTTGAGATTTTTGCTTGCGGAAATCAACGGAAAATGGAGTGAAAAGGATTAGAAAAAATCAAAACAAAAATTTTTTTAACTGTAAAACAAAAAATGCATCCATTCTGTTCGTCATAAAGCCTGAAAAATTCTTGCAAAAAACCAATTCTCCCGAGAGATGTAAAGAACAATTAAAATCAGATTATCTTAGGCAATGTTTCGCCGAAAAAGAAAACGGCTTTTTCTGGAAACTTCTTTCTCAGTATCTATAAATACCTTCATTTTTGCATATTCTCTTGTTTTTTGACCCAGTAATCTCAGTGTCTTCTACACAAAAAATCAGTTTTTTCCGCACGAAGCCAAAGTTATGAGTAAAAAGTGCTTTTCTCTCTGGCCGCTCTCCGCGTTTCGCGTGCTCTCTCGGCGACAAAAATCGTTTGATATCTCGGCGGGGCCTGCAAAGCGCGAGCTAAAACTTTGAGGAATTGATATTTAGTGTATGCCCGACGTATGTGCAAAATTTAAAGAAAATCTGAGCGCCGCACTTGAGGTAGTTCCCTTGTAAATATCAAAACTTGAACGCTGAAATTTCAATTTTCATTTGAAAAAAAGTTGCTTAATTCAATGTTGCTAATAAAAGATTTTACTTTCTTATTATTACTATTATACTGCCTACCTGATTTGCTCCACTCTTTGTCGCCGAAAAAAAAATTTCTCAAGGTTCCAATTTTACAATTTTACCCAAAATTTACCAAATTTTCTCGCTTTTTTCAAAAAAAAAAAAATCACTCGCAACACTACATCAAGACATATAGAAGCACGAGATCGCCGTTTTTTGTTGTCTGAACCTAATTTTAATTCGATTATTTGTTAAATTTCCATTCTTTCGTCACCATTTTTTCTTTTTTGGGCGTTTTTGTAATCATCGAAAAATGGGCTCGGAATGGCGGGGGGAGAACGTTGAAAAGACCGTTCCGAACGGTCTTAAGGAGTCGCTAGTGGGAGTGGGAAATTGTTTGTAACGAATTTCCGGGGGCTCGGCGGTCGGGAGGTTTTGTACGATAAACTCTTGTAAAGCGAAACCCTTTCTATAGCGGACAATTTTGAAGGTCCACAGGGTAAATTTTAGGCCGGAGAAGCTCTTGTATCATCTTTGAATTGAAGGACAGGTGTTTGTGATTGACCTAATAGGCCGATAAAACATTGTGAGATAAAGTATGGATGGTTTTTACATGATTTTTTGACGAAAATTAGAATTTTTCGACCAAAAATTTACAAGGGAAGTACTCCAAGTGCGACGCTCAGATTTTCCTTAAATTTTGCACACACGCCGGGCATAGAATAAATATTGATTCCTGAAGGTTTTAGCTCCCGCTTTGCAAGTGCCTCCGAGATATTGAACGATCTGCCGAGAGAGCACGCGAAATGCGGAGAGCGAGGGAATAAAGCAACTTTTGGCTATATCTTTGCTAGTTTCGTGCGGAAAAAAATGATTTTTTGTGGAAACATTACCCTCTATGGTAGAAATAGCCATGAAACTTTTCGTGCCAAAATTCGACAAAAAGTGTCAAATTTTCGCCGACTTTTGGTCTAAAAAAATCTCGGTTATTTCTGCAAAGCGCGAGTTAGGATTCTCGTGTATATTTTAGAAAAAAATATTCTAAATTTGTGCCAAGTTTAATCAAAATCTGAGAGTCGCACTTGGAGGGACTTCCCCTGTAAATTGAACACTTTTTTTCGATTACTTCAAATTTTCATATTTCTTATTTTCAATTTTTCGCGATTTTTTTGAAATTTTCGGGACTACTGAATAACCAATTTTACTAACTAAAATCTAAATAAAAATTACTTTTCCAGCCATGGGTTACAAGATGTGTGATCTGTACAAGCTTCTACGCGGGTGTAACCTTGATCTCTCCGACTATTTGTCGCTTCCTCCGAGGAAAAGGCTTCGAACACATGAGGCCATAAAGGCATCAGAACCTGCGGAATTCACCAATATCGCTGCCGTTTATCAACTGGATGATGAGGAAATTTTGGGGGAGTTTTTGGCGGTCTTGAAGGAACAGGCAAGGTGAGAAAAAAATCGACCAAAAATTTCTATTTTTTTCAAAAAATTTTTTAAAAAAGTTTAAAAAAGTCATTCACAGACTCTCTAAATTTTATTTGGATAAAAATTCAGAGACCCTGAGGCATTTTTTAAGCTGTTATTTCTACTTTTTTTTAAAATCATCAAATTTTAAGCCTAAAATTTTTAAAAAATCCCCGTTTCCCCCCTTATTTCCTTCATTTTTCAGCAAATCCTACCTCAACATCAATTTCCTCCCAATTCTCGACGAATCAGAGTCCCTTTCATCCAATGATGAGGCCCTACTCACCACCTGCAATAACATTTTTTACATTTCTTTGGATGAACAAGTCGATTTGGACCGACTTTTTCAAATCATCCCTTCAAAAATCCCAATGACGATCATAACTCTGAATGAAGAGAAAATGAGGGAAATGGGCGATTACAGTTATTGCAATGAACTGTTGAGGACGTTGAGAGAGCTGGATGTAAATAATGGAAAATTTGAGAAAGTTTCGAGAATCCAAATTAATGTCATCAAGGCCAAGGAGAATGTCGAAAATGGGTAAGTAGACGCGTAGATTTAAAATTCAAACTTATTTTGACTTTTAATAAGCTCGTTTGTCTGCATTACGGCTAAAAAGAAAGTCAAATTTTCAAAAATTTAAATTCCCGCCATTTTTGGCATTCCGTTCTAATGGTGAATATAGGCGCGAGATGTCTTTTTATTCGTTCTATGATCTCTACCAATTCTAATTAAGGCTTAATTTAATTACTGTCATGTGTTTTCGACCTAAAACAGCTGTTTATTTGGAACAATACCTGACGTTAAGACCTTGTGCATAAACTTTGCTCCCAAAAACATTTCTTTCAATTCTCACATCTTAAAATCATTCCTACATCCTGCCTATTTTAGTCAAGAATCCTTCTCGCTCTTCTCCGCCCACGACATTTACATTGGCGAAGAAGATTCGGCCCGAGTTTCCTATATTGAACTAGGTGTTGATGATGACCCAATCGTCAAACAAAAGAATAGTGGAATGTTCATCCGTCTCGAGCAGAACCTCAACACCCTTAGGGTTGCACAGGAGCAGCGGCATGAGCCCGACTTCATCTCTGCCACTCATGTTCAGCATCTTTTGGAGACCATGATGGAGATGGGCTATGACTTCAAAGCCCCGAAAAATATGGAAAATGAGGAAATGGAAGGGGAAAATGATGGTAAAAATGGAGTAACAGGCTTGAGAAAGGATATGAAAGATGAAAATGACAACATTTTTGATGATGAAGTGCCCAGTTCGTCGATTGAAATGGACAGTCAAATTTTGGCGGAGAAGTTCAATGGGCAAATAAAACTGAGAAATAGCGAAAGTGGTAGGTGAAATGCGATAAACACAGTTTATTAGGATATTTATCATAGGGTAATTATCCAAATTTTTGAAAAATTTGCGATTTTTCCTTTGAAAATTAGGCCTAAAATGGAAATTTTTAAAAAATCCAATTTTTGATGACTTTTTTTCACTTTTTCACAAAAATTTCCAAAAAGCATCAATGGAAAGTATCTCAAACCAAGTCAGCAATAACGCATAAGCTCTCTTCTAACCCCACACCCATTTCAGGACTGCATTACCGACTTCGCGAGCCCATTTTCAACAACACATTCCAAGAGATCCGGCCATTCGGCGGCTTCCGCACAATGTTCGTCCGCTCCAAGTGCACACATGGCGTCGTGATCGTGGACGGCATTCGCGAATTCAAGTTCAACAACGGCGATGAGATTGTGTTGAAGACGGATCGCGATTTGCGAGTTCAACGGGTCTATCTGTAAATTATATTACCTTATCCATATCCAATTCTTGATGCAAAAAAGTCGGCGTTTCGTCGGTTTTGTGCGTCGCATTTTAACTGTGATGCTTTACTGGCCATTTGTAATATATACTTTCTTATATTCTAAGGATAAAATGTAAAAATTCCAAATTTTTTATCAGATGTCTACTAAAATATAAAAGATGATAAATTTTATGAAATAAATTTATAAATAACCTCCGAATATACACAAATACGTCTATCACATCGATTTTAGTCCGAGCCCAGGTCCAATGGAGGGAGAACTTCGGGAATATTGGGGGTTGGTTCTCTTGCCTCAGGGACTGGTGCTAACGGCTGTGAAGGTCGGGCTGGGGGTATCGGAGAGGCACGTTTTTGCTGCATAAGGCGTGCTTGCAGCTCTCGGAGGGCAATTTGTCTAAAAAATCGGTTTCAATTATCAATTTTCACAAAAAAAGTGACATTTTATACGATCAAACATGTCCAACATCACATCTAAAAGATCGCCAAATAAAAGGCCAAAACCAACCTCTTTCGTTCTGCTTCTCTGTCAAGGTCCAACTCAAACATTGTATCTTCATTCACTTGTGGCAGTATCATTCTATCCACTTTTTTGAGGAGTCGAAGTTTGAAGAGTGACCTATACGCAATTTTTCCAATGCCTTGGAAAAATGGCTGTGTAATGCGGGGGAAGAGGCTGAAAATATTATTCTCCGCTAATTTCTTAAGCATAAACAAAATTTACCCCAACAAAAAATAGTTTAAATCCCTCATCTCAAAAAAAAAACAAAAAAATCCCAATCTTTTTGCCCAAATTTGCAAATTTATCCCTAAAATAATGTCCCAAATCAACAAACTCACGTGTGCCAAGCAAAATGGTCACTCTGGTCGCCCTTCTCCCCTTGCCGGAGCTCTCGTTTTTGAATAAATCGAAGATAAGTCCACGAAACTTGAATCCCCATAGCTGTCTGGAAGATCACTCCGTAGCGGACTAATCCAACGAGGTAAGCGATGATTACCAGTGTTAACGAAGACAATGGCAGATGATTATTCTTTAATCTTCCTTTTGAAGTTGTTATGAGGACGGTGTCCGGCAGAAACTAAAACAATTTATATATTATTCATGGCTCAACACGGGTGTGTGGGAGAAAAAGAAATATTTGGAAGAGAAATTGTGCCTCTTGCATGCAGTTTAGAATACAAGAACATGTCCTCAGCTACCTAAACACACAAGCAAAAAATAAATAAATTATTACCTGTTTTATAGCCACCAGAGCCGCAACATTCACCGGGGCCAATCCATTCAGATGGGCAAAGTAAAAGAAGTCGACGGCGCCAAAAAGCGCGAAGAACCCGAGCGCAATCATTGATAAGGCGAACAATGTGACAAAATGTACAATGAGGCAAAATTTGAGGACTTCATTCAGGCCCCAGAGAGGAGAGATCACCTCGGTCAGTTGGTGGAATGCAAGTACTGACCAGAGCAAAAGAAACACGTTTGTTTCGGTGATGGCTGCCGTGAATGGTCGCCAGATATGCAATAGAAATAGGCTACTGGGTGTGTAGGAGAAGAAATTGTAAATTGGATTGATGAGGGAGAGAAGGAACCCTGAAAAATTGGAGAAATTATATTGCAATACATGGCTGATGTGGGGAGAGTAAGAAATAGCTGTTTTGTCATCGACATTGACAACAGGCAGCTTTAAGAGCCATTTCTATAGTTTGACAATAGCTTAGACCATCTCATGAAAAACATTTCAAGCTACTACCATCATCAGCATCTTCATCTAGTCCAATCTTACTTTAAAACCATTTGCTATCTAAAACACAAACAAAAAAGTTCAAAATATCTCACCAATCGCGAGAACTCCCACAGAGATTTGAAACACCGGCTTCTCCGCCTTGAACCACGCCTGCCATACGTCCAACTTGTGCCGAAGTAACGCTGGATCGATATTTACACGCATTTTTTTACAATTCTTCCAGCTTTCCTCAAATCTTTAGCATTTCCAATCTGAAACCCCCATTTATCAATGTGAACACGTAGAAAAAGTATTTACAAAAACAAAAAACAATCGAAAGTTTACCTTCCCCTCCAGCGCCTTTTGATTATGCCGTCAAAACTTTTAGCCCACAGATGGATAATATAAACTAATGCAAAATAATTCGTCGAATCTTTAAGAGCGTTGAAAGAAGTGTCAAATCCAACGATGAATTCGTCGTGGAATCGACGAAATTTTCCGGAGTAAAATTTCGACGTGTTTTTGCAGAATGCCAAACATTCGGATTTCGTGGTGGGACGCAGGCGCCGGATTTTTGCGTCCATTTAATGCTGTGCATTTTCTCTGTTTTGCCGGCCTTGTTCTATTCTGCGGAGCTCCGATGTATGAGTAACTTCGAGACCTTTTGCAGCCCTGTTTGAGAAAGGGGCCGATCTTTCGTGGGGGATCGATGTCTAAAGTAATATCGGCCTTTTCAAGTGGGTTTGAAGCAAAAAACGGGGTTGAATACGATCCGTACGAAGAGTATTTCTCTCCGCAGCGTCCTGGGTGTCTTTATCCATTTTTAAGTCGAAATTGACCAGGCTTTTTGGCCTTGATATTAGATCTGATGCATGAGATAATTTGGAGTTGTTTTTTTCCAAAGATTGATAGGCAATACCTGCCTTTAGTATAGAAATGTCTTTTATATGAGTTTTCACAGATTTTACATCGACTTTTATCTGTGCGACTGCAGAAATTTCCTTGTTTTCGACTTTACTTTTTTAGTGGACTTCTAGTGGGAAAAAGTTGATGTTGTTCATTGAGAACGGCCTGTATACAAGTATATTATGCTCTGTGCAGTTGCTATGACGATAGGAGGGCAAATTAAGCATAATATCTCACGGTTTTTTACTGATTAATTGTTCGAAATTTGCGATATTACATTAGATATATTGTGGAGTAGATTGATGTTGAAAATATTGAATTTTTGTTCGAAAAATAAGTTCATTGTTATATAAGGTGTTGAAAGGCGTGTTGATGGTAATTTTCCGCGTTTTGCTTTGAAATTTGTTTGGTATGTCTAATTTTCAACTTTTAGAACTTAACCAATATGGCTGAAGAAACGAAGCCAAAGACAGTGTTGCCTGACAAGCCATTCATCAGGCTTCGAGGACTCCCTTATTCCGCTCGAGATGATGACATTATTCAATTTTTGGGTCGTAAGTCTTTTTGTTCTTGTTTTGTTTTTAGGTATCTACTCCAATATAAAATCTGGTCCATTATCCATTTCAGCTGATGTCCATGTGACATACATTTATTTCACTTCAAATTCCGACGGCAAACCATCCGGTGAAGCTTATGTTCAAGTGATGGGAGACGATGATGTTGCCAAATCTCAAGAAAAACACCAGCAGAACCTGGGAAATCGATACATCGAGGTTTTCGTCGTCGCCGATGCCGACCAACTGATCAAACGGATCCAAAGCACCTTGGTGGACCGGAATACGGGTGCTGTCCGAGTCCGTGGACTTCCGTACAGTTGCAAGAAGGAGGATGTTTATGACTTTTTTAAAGGTACGTCAAATTTTTGAGGCGATTTATATTGTACATGTTGGATACTGGTGGTTTATGGTTTGATAAGCCTGGAATTGGATGGGTGAAGGGGTAATTGTCTTCTGAGGGGACTTTTTCGCTGATTTTTTGTCGGAAAAGTTCGTAAAAATTACTGTCTCTCCTCAGAACACAGTCACCCCTTCCGGGCGGATGGCTGAAAAGTGGGCAGAGCGAGCTCAAAAGCCTGGGTCCCCAAAACGGGCGAGGAAAAAACGGTGCACGGTTTCGTTGTTTACATGGTATACTCTCTAGGTATGTCGGTGGTCGAGGTGATCTTCGGGAAGGAGCCAGGGGAATGGGGCCGGCCCACAGGTGAGGCTTTCATCCGGTTCAGTACGAAAGAGGAGGCGGACCGGGCTATGCAACTAAATGGGCAATATCTCGGGAAAAGGTAACGTGGTTTTTGGGTCTTGCAATCTCTTACAATTTCAGTTATGGTGTGGTTAGTCTTAGCGGTCTAAAAAGCGGGTGTTTTGGGAGATATTCGGGGAGGTCTTTATCTTATACATGGTGGATAAATTTTTTGGTAATTTAGAGAATTTTGAACGAGTTTCTTGATGTATTTTTGGTTTCTTGGAAAATTTTTGCTATATTTTGCCTATTTAATCGAGTTTTGTAGACAAAAAATTTTGAACAGTAAAATTTCCAAGTGTAATATTTTTGATCAACAAAATTTTAGTTTTTGGTATTTTCACTGTATCATTGCGAATATTTTTGCAGTCATATGTCTTTTAATGAATTTTTATGTCTTTTTTGAGGGTCAGGAAAGGGAGTTACGAAAAATTTTTTTTAATTTTTTCTCAAACAAGTATAATATTTTAGATACGTCGAACTGTTCAAAGTCGATTTGGATGCCTTTGAGAACTTCAAGTTGAAGATGGATCCTAACAGAATCAGACCGTTGAATGCTGTGGAGAACCCTTGGGGCGGATATTACCCACCGCCGCCACCAGCTTACGGAGGTGGATATGGGTAAGATAAGGTTTTGAGAAGATTGGGGTTTAAATTTGTTTAAAATCACGAGTTTTTATTTAATTTCAATTTCAGAGGGCCTCCACAAGAGTACGGGAAATACGAAGGAGGAGGAGGAGACCGGGCTCCATAGTAAGTTCTTATTTTTATTTTTGTTCTTAATTTAGGTACATTGGATTTTCAAGAAGATGTTTTTGAGACTTTCAATGGTTATATTATCTGTTGTTATCTGTGCTGGCCAAAAATATACCGAGTTTATGGCCAAAATATTACTTGATGATCATGGATAATATAAATGGCTCGTATTTTCAGTTATGACCCCTACGCCTATCGTCAAGGACCACCAGCCCCATCCTACGGCGGTGGGCGAGGTGGTGGCGGCGGCGGATACCAACCGCCACCAGCTTCCGCAGGCTACGGACAAGACCCGTATTATGGAGGGGGTGCGGCAAGAGGAGCCAGGGCTGGATATGGGCCACAAGGAGGATACGGCGGTGGATACGATCGTTACAATCAGTCCGAACCCCCAACTCCAAATAAAATCCAGATGAGGGGTCTGCCATATAGGGTAACCCAACAACAGATCTTCGATTTCTTTGCACCAATTCAGCCGACGGAAATTAAAATTGGGTATTTGGATGATGGAAGAGCCTCTGGCGATGGTGTTGTTGAATTTGCGAATGAGAGAGATGCTAGAGAAGCTTTTAAGAAGGACAGAGAATGCATCAAACAAAGGTAGGGGGGTTAGGACGAGGTTTTTTATATTGTAGTAGGTGTAGATGGGGAAGATGAAAAAAAAAATCTAAAATTTGATGTTTTTTAGGTGGGAACTGATTTATATAGGGAAGAAATGACAAATATATTGTGATTTTGTAGTGAATATAGTATTTTTGACCTTGAATTCCGGTATCTTACACTTGATTTTGCAGATATATTGAGCTCTTCCCTGGCGATCAAATGAAACTCCCAGCCTCCACAACGTACAAGAGCATCTACAAATCGGCTGTAGACCCATACAAGGTCGTGGATCCGTATAAAATGGACCCCTACAAACCAGTCGACCCATATTCTCCATACGGAGCTCCCGCCACCGCTCCTGCCATGCCCGCTCAACCCTACGGCCAACCCGGAACATGGAGATATTGATTGTCATATTCCACGATATTTGATCTAATAACTTTTTCTTTTCAATGGCTCTTACTCAGTAATTTATTTGGATTTTTTAGTGTATACAATATTATTACACGTTAATAAAGTGTGTTTTTGAAGAGATATGTGGGATATTTAGTGGTAATTAATAGTAATTGGTGCTATGCGTAAAGATTGGGGGTTTTAAAATTGGATATCGGAGAGAAAATTTTATACTTTTTACCTTGTTTTAGACATCAAGGCAGTCAAGCCTTAAATTTAGCTTAAAAATCAGGTATTTTTAGCATAAGCAGGATTAGTTTGTCTCTATTACAGTCCGCATTACAAGAATCAGCCCATTTTCCGTCAGCGTGACGCATTTTTTGCATCAGTCTGACGGATTTTATGGAAAATAAAAAATTATTTTTTGTTTTCGGAGCGCAGTTGTTTTTTTTACTATAATATTTCGTCTAGTTTTTTTTGTGGTTATCAACGAGGAATCGCGTCCATTGAACATCCAAAGCCTTTTATTTGTTCTAGATCGTCATTTTACAGGAATCCCAATGGTTTTTGATCGGATATGTATAATTTTGTTGTTGTTTTAGATGTTTTTTGTGCTTACTGTGACATTTTGGCTTGTTTCTATTGTGTTTTGAGGTTGTAAAGGGTGATTGGAATGTCTCCTTTGATTTTACTGATAATTCCCGGCAAAAATGTTTTAAAATCTTATTGAAACTTTTAACTTTTGTTATTCATCTTATTTTGTCTCAAAACGCCTGTTTTTCCGCTAAACCGCAACTTTTAGAACACATTTGGTTACATTGTCCATCGCTGACGTGATGTTGTTGCTTTTTCTCTTTTTATTCACTTTGAATTTGATTTAAACTACGATTTCTCTACTGCCACCCTTATACCTACTACAATATCGAAAATTCGCGTGTTATCAGTTGGGTTTCAAGTGTTTAACGCTACTCTGAATTCTACTAATCATGAGCAAATCTCAGATTGACATGAGTGCCTCACGTGCCCTCCTTCAGAAGCTTCGGCCGGCCGAAACCGCGCTCTTTGTTTGTGACATCCAGGAGAAGTTCCGGTAAGTGTTTTCATGTTTTTTGTGTTGTTGTTTAGGTGTTGATAACGATAGTAGATGCCGTCAGGGAGTTTATGGAAAAGTTTCAAGGCGGTGCCTGGGAATTCGTTTATCGAAATTACTAAAATTTCATCGGCTACCTTTTTGTTTGATGGATAAGTTGACAGTATGATTTGTATCGATTGGCTTTGGAAGAAACTTTGTTTTTGGGGTTCCCTAAGACCTTGGCGCTAAGTTTTACACGGTTGGGAAATTATTTCTTAACCAGCTTTATCTCAATTTCATACACCTCTATTAGGTATCAAGTGCAATATAAAGTACACATTTTCCCTTGATCTTATTGTCGGATTTGGGTCGTATTGGACCGGTAATTACAGGAAATCGTTAGCTACGAAAAAGTTTGCATTTTTAAAACCAAATTTTTTCTTGAAAATTTTCATGTTGTTCAGTTCCATCAAGTATAATATTTGGTGTATATCTCTGTAATCACTGGTGTTTTCGTTATGAAATTTAAACCATAGGTAGCTAATTTGATTTGCCTTTAAACTAAATTTAACTTCCTTCCATATCCACTTGATTTTTATTCCTTTCAGCCCTTCCATTCAGTACTTCCCGCAGATTGTTGAAGTTGCTCGTCGTCTCGCCGCCGGCGCTCACATTCTGGACATGCAAATTGTAGCCACCGAACAATACCCCAAAGGCCTTGGGAAGACCGTGTCGGAGTTGGAGCTGGACAAATACGGAGTGCAGCCGGTGGACAAGTCCAAATTCAGCATGTGTATTCCTCCCATCGAACAACAACTGAAGCCCAGTGTAAAATCCATCTTGATCTGCGGAATAGAAGCTCATGTCTGTGTGTACCAAAGTGTTCTCGACTTTTTGGCCAAGGATTATCAAGTTCATGTTGTGGTCGACGCCACCAGCAGTCGAGCTTTGCCCGATCGGTTCTATGCTTTCAAGTAAGCGGTTTTAGATAAAGTTTTTGTCATTTCCATACAAGGAAAGTACTTTTATGGGGTAGGGAGTTACATGAAAAAAGGTAGCAAAAATGCGCCACACAGTAATCAAAATCAATGGAAACTACAAAAAATTTGATATAGATTTGCCTAGTGTAATATGAAAAATCTTGAATTATCGCCTCTACATCTTTTGTAGTGGTAGTCCCAATGTAAAGAAAAAAAAATTCAACCCGAAACATGCCCAAAATCTAAGAAGGAAAGCACTTCTATGGGGTATGGAGTTACAGGTTGAGACATACAGCAAAAAATCGCAAGATTTTTCTGATTCAGAATATGTAAAAATTTGCTGCCCAATTTTGGTTTGTAAGGGAGAAAAAACCCTCAGAACTTTACTCGCAACACCACGAAAATTACTCCTTTTTTGTTTTTGCCAAATCCAAAGCTTTTTTTTGAGCTAAAGTAAACCCTGGTATCTTGACTAAGCATGGCTGCAAACCGGGCCACCCCGGCCCGGGCCGCAGGCCCGGGCTTAAATCTCCAAGCCCGGCCCGGGCCCGGGCTTGGGAAATTTGGAAAGCCCGGCCCGGTTCGGCCCGGAAAATTTTATACTAGTTTGGAAAGAAAGAAAGCGGGAAATGAAAAGAAAATTATGGCAAATTTTCGCAAGATGTAAAGAAAAATTTAGCAAAACCTAGGTACATAAGGTCACTTTACGTTCGCTATCAGCATTGTGTTCGAAAAAATGAAAAATCCTATCGTAAAAGCTTATTTTTTCCTTTTTTCCGGGCAAAACTCAAATTTCAAAAAACCGGGCCGTCCCGGGCCGGGCCGGGCCTGAAAATCGAAGCCCGGAGTCGGGCCGAGAAATTAGTCGGCCCGGCCCGGGCCGGAAAATTTTGCAAAGCCCGGCCCGGAGCCATGCCTAATCTTGACAAACCTTAAAATATCATGTCCCTTTTTGCACTGGAGCTACTAATTAAGGTGTAGTATAAATTAAATTTGATATTTTAACTTGTCGAGATGTCAGGGTTTACATTGCTCCACACAAAGCTTTTGCATTGTCAAAAACTTGGTCAAAAAAGGGTCATAAGCGTGGTGTTGCGAGAAAAGTTCTGAGGGGGTTTTCTCCCTTACAGACCAAAATTGGGCAGCTAATTTTTACATACTCTGAATCAGAAAAATCTTGCGATTTTTTGATATTGCCTCCACCTGTAACCCCATATCCCATAGAAGTACTTTCCTTGTTAGATTTTGTGCATGCTCCGGGTTGAATTTTGGTTTTTTACATTGGGAATACCATTACAAAAGATGTAGAGGCCAGAAGTCAAGATTTTTTATATTACACTAGGCAAATCTATATCAAATTTTTTGTAGTTTCCATTGATTTTGAATACTGTTTGCCGCATTTTCACTACCTTATTTTCGAAAGGGTCTTTCAATGAGATTCCAGCCCAAAATCGATTCAAATCGAGATATTTTTACATTGTACTTGATACAATTACCGTCAATTTGTATATAAGCTATTTTTCAGACAAATGGAACGGGCTGGAGCTGTCTTAACCACTAGTGAATGTGTCCTTCTCGGCCTTGTTGGCGGCTCAGACCATCCTAAATTCAAGCAAGTCCAAGGTCTCATCAAGGAAAGCGCCCCCGATTCCGGACTCTTGCAGTTCAAATTGTAGATTAGAAGCTAGGTTTTCGCTCGGTGATGTAAAGAAGTCAACTGTGTTGAGAAATAAATATTTGCGACTCTATTTATGGTTTGTCGAATTATTCAAGGTGGCCGAGTTACAGTGGCCGACCTGATCCAATGGCAAAAAACGTACCATTTTGCACCCGGGAAGTATCAAAAAATGTGGCAAAAATGCCTTCCTCTTCAAGAGAAAAAACTTCGTTTTGAAGGGCGTGCCCTTCCTTCACAAAAATAACGCGCTTTTGAAGTCGACCCTTTGGCATTTGAGAGTGATACAGTGACCAGATCCAGTGACAAAAAACGTACCATTTTGCATCTGGGAAGTATCAGAAAAGTAGAAAAATGTCTCCCTCACGCAAAATGGTACGTTTTTTGCCACTGGATCAGGGCGAAAAGGGCGTCCCCTTTAAACGGCTTCGGTGACTCCAGCTCTATTCATGTAACAGGTACCCAGAAAAGTAATTATTGGTTGGTCTCACGACTCTTACAAATACATCCAAAAAATGTACGATTCCAATTTACAAATGCCGACTTGAGACCTGTTACAATAAATGCAAGTCATACCCACATGTTGATCTAGATATGGACTTATCATCAACTACAGTGACGGACTCGATCGATTGGCAAAAAGCTTACCATTTTCATCCGGTAAGCATCAAAAATGTGGCAAAATGCTTCCCTCTCCAATTGCAAAAAAAAATTTCAAGGGGACGCCCGTTTTCCTCACAAAAAGAGCGCATGTATTTGTTGTTTTTGACAATCAAAATAAACGTTTATAATATAACCTGCACTGTGCGTAATTCTGGGTTACAAATAAGTAAAAAAAAAAACATCCTGATTATTAAATATAAGTAAATCTGGGGAGCGCCGAAAATAAAGGTTACATATAAGTAATTTCAGAATTACTTGTATATTATTATATAAAATTCAATTTCATATAAGTAAATCCGAGTTCCCTGTGGAGAAAAATTTCAACTATTCAATTTGTTTTTGTTTTCGAAATTCTTTCGCTGTTTACCAACATGTTTTTTGGTCTCGTAAACATTCCAGTCCAACTCTTTTTTGTTTTGAAGGGTGAATTTGGATATTTTTCGAGGCCTTGCGACATAATCTTTACTCCATAAAGATTATTGAGAATCTTTTCTTCATTTTAAGATGAATTATATTTGATGACAGTCTTGATACCTTTTGATATCGTCTCCTCGACAAAATTGAAGCCACCGATATTTACAGATGCGATGAGCACCTCAAAAGCCCATTTACAGAAGCTCCGGCCCGCCGAAACCGCTCTTTTTGTTTGCGATTTACAGGAATCTTCAAGGTAAATTGTGGATTTCTGTTTTTTCTTTATAAAGAGTCATCAAAAATATGGTTTTAGAGGAGCAATTCAGTACTTCTCAGAGATTGTTCAAGTGGCCAAAAGACTAATCGAAGGCGCAAACATCTTAAACATGCAGATTTTGGCTACTGGACATTGGCCTGACCAGGAAAGGTATGGAATTTTGGTGAGGTTAACCTAGAGGTTAATTAAGCCTGACCGTGAAAAGATACGATGCTTGAAGCCGCATTTTTGGCTATTTATTGATAGTATATAGTTGGTATAAATTTACAAGGGAAGTAGTCCAATTGCAACACTCAGATTTTGATGAAACTTGACACAAATTTAGAATAATTTTTTCTAGATATATGCGAGAATTCTAGCTCGCGCTTTGTAGAAACAACCGAGATTTTTGGGCCGAAAGTTGGAAAAAATTTGAGAATTTTTTGCGAATTTTGGCATGAAAATTTTGATGGCTATTTCTACGGTAGAGGGTAATGTTTCCACAAAAAATCAATTTTTTTTGCGCGAAATTGCCAAAGTTATGGCCAAAAAATTTTTTTTCCCTCTGACCGGTCTCCGCGTTTCGCGTACTCTCTCGGCAGCAAAGATCGTTCAATACCTCGGCTGCATCTGCAAAGCACGAGCTAAAACTTTCAGGAATTAATGAGTGATCTATGCCCGAGTTATGTGCAAAATTTAAAGAAAATCTGAGTACTTCCCTTATAAGAAATAATTTTTTTTTCAATTTTTTTTCAAAAAATGATGACAAAAGGGGTTGTCATCAAAAAAATCAATCTACCATTCCATTTTTCAGACAAACCGTCTGCGAATTGGAGCTCGAAAAGTTTGGCGTTGAGCTGGTGGAGAAGACCAAATTCAGCATGTGTGTGCCGCTGATCGGAGAGAAACTGAAGCCAACAGTAAAATCAGTCATAATCTGTGGAACCGAAGCCCACGCCTGTGTGCTTCAGAGTGTTTTGGACCTACTGTCGAGTGGCTATCAAGTTCATGTTGTTGTTGATGCCACCAGTTCAAGAGGGGCGCCGGATCGGTTCTTTTCGTTTCGGTTGGTCTGCCTTGGGAAATTTTAAATATTAATCCTTTTTCAGGCAGATGGAGCAAGCTGGCGCTGTTCTAACGACCAGCGAATGCGCTCTTCTTGGGCTGATTGGGACTTCGGATCATCCGAAATTTGAGGAAATTCGAGAACTGGTCAAAGAAAGTGCTCCGGACACGGGTCTTCTGCAATGTCATCTTTGAAAAAGGTGGAAAAATTTTAAGCAAATGACATTGCGATTCATTAAATAAATATTCAACACGTGTAGTAAAAAAAGAAATTTTTTTCGACTCCAATTACAGACCTGCTCCAGTGACAAAAAACGTACCATTTTGCATCCGGGAAGTATCAAAAAATGCATCAAAATGCCTCCCTCTCCAACTAAAAAACACTGTTTGAAGTAGGCATGGCTCCGGGCCGGGCTTTGCAAAATTTTCCGGCCAAATTGTTCCTGTCAAAGACGACTTTGAACTCGTTTTCAATGCATTTGAAGTCGGTCCTCTTTGAAATTCAAGTGTTGTACAGCGACGGACCTGATCCAGAGGCAAAAAAAACGTATCATTTTGCATCCGGTAGGTATCAAAAATGTAGCAAAATACCTCCCTCTCCAACTAAAAAAACTTCGTTTGAAGGGCGTGCTTTAGAAAACGGAGTTTTTCACTTCGAGAGGGAGGTATTTTGCGACATTTTTTGATACTTCCCGGGTACAAAATGGTACGTTTTTTGCCGCTGGATCAGGTCCGCTACTATAATATTATTACGATTTTTCAAAATTGTGTAGACTTTTTTGGACCTTCTTTCGCATGTTGCGCCACACGATCTTTTTCGAAACATTTTGCACTGTGCAATTTCTTTTCGTACATTTTCTGCGGCTCCTCCAATACGTTCATCAATTTTATTACATTCAAAAAATTTCGAGGTTACAGACTTGTTATTACAATATAAGAATGGCAGATGACTATACTTGATTTTGGCGTGAGAGTTAATAAAATTATGGCTTGTGACTTTTAAGACAACAATTTCAGGAAATTGCAACTACAAAAATGGCTAAAATACGATATAAAATACGGTGTTTGGCTGGTGGAAAAAATAAAAAAATGTTTAAAAAAATAGCCTGAGGGCAAATTAAGTCTCAAAAACAAATTTTAGACCTTAATTTAGATTTTTGCATATCAAATTTGAATAGATTCAAAAATTTGCATAAATTTTCAGAAATCAACATATTGCTTTAAACGTGCTTATACTTGGTGAAGAGAGCGTGAAGAACTCTCAAAGTCGACTTTAAATCACCATTTACAATGTCGTGGGGTCTTGTCTTCGGCTTCTGAATTCCGCTGTCCTCCATGAGGAAGAAGGCGAAGTTCACATTCTTCAATTTCTCTTCATGTGAGGTGACTTGGAGGGCGAATTTGTACAGAGGAACAAAGTATCCTTCCAGAAGGCCCATCAGAAGAATTAGAAAGACTCCATCCTGAAAAAAAACTGGAATTATTATATTTATTATCCATGATGACATGGCAAGGGGAAACTTTGGCAGTCCAATTGAGAAAATTTCGGCTACCCTTCATTCGGGGCATTCATTGCTTTTTAATCTTATTGCAAAAAAATCCGCGATTTTTGACTAACAATAAATTTATACTCTTTAGGTCTAAAGTAAGATGAAATGATCTTTTACAATCAATTTTTGCAACCTTTCATTTGGGGTCGGGCCAATATTTATATACAACGTTGCAAAATTGGTTGACTAGCTAGCCAAGGGGGTTACTCTGTGTTCAAACCGTAGGAGGGGTCGCTCATCACCAAGCTCGCGACCTAGGTCGTGACCAAGGTCAAGATGGTTGCCCAAATTTCCCCGAAAACGGTCTCAATGCTTGGCTATGATGGTCAAGGCACTTTCTTTAGGTCATGTCGTCACCAAGCTCGTGACCTAGGTACAATGGGGGACCTGATCCAGTGTCAAAAAACGCAGCATTTTTCATCCGGAAAGTTTCAAAAATGTGGCAAAATTCTTCGATCTCCAAGTGAAAAACTACTCTTTTTGTGAAGGAAAGGGCGCACCCTTCAAAACGAAGTTTTTTCACTTGGAGAGGGAAGTATTTTGCCACATTTTTGAAACTTCCCGGATGGAAAATGCTGCGTTTTTTGCCACTGGATCGGGTCCGTCATAGTGAGGTATGAACGACCTATCCATCACAGTCAAGCATTGCGACCGTTTTCGGGTAAATTTGGGCAACCAACTTCATCTTGGTCACGACCTAGGTCGCGCGCTTGGTCATGAACGACCCTACGGCGTAAATGAACACAGAATAACCCTTTTGGCTAGCTAGTCAAACTATTTTGCAACATTGGATATAAATATTGGTCCGACCCGATCAGCCCCAAATGAACGGTTGCAAAAATTGAATGTGAAAGATCATTTCATCTTACTTTAGACCTAAAGATTACAAATTTAGTCAAAAATCGCGGATTTTTTGCAATAACGGATTAAAAAGCAATGAAATTTCGAAATTTCAAGCACTCACCTGAAATTGTGTTTCCAAATCCGTGACTTCCAAATTGATCTTGTTCAGATGTTTGTTGCAGAAGGCGACCAGACTTCCCTTGACATGCTGAAGCTTGTCCGGGCCATAATCAAAGAGCGTATCGAAGGCATCTCTTTCTCCCTTTGGCGGCGGAAGGTCCGATTGTTTTCCGGTGAGCTGCTCGGTCTGGAAGGACTTCTGAATCTGGCGTCCATTCCTCGTGTAGACAATCATCTGGACATTCACATTATTGGGGAAACGGATCGGTGCGCGGAAGTGGAGAGCCAGGTCGATCAAAAGTTGGAGAATGGCGACCACATCTTTCTGATGGATAAGTTCGGCGTTCCAGCGTTTCGACACCGGGCCTTGCGCGTGAATGTTGCGGTTCAGCGCGTCCACGAGGACATTCCACTTCTCTTTTTGGCCGGCTTCGGATTGCGACACCTCGGGGATCTCGATTCTGATGTCGGCCAGCTTTTCCAACAGCTTTTGGACAATTTGGCCGTCGTAAAAGTCCTCCTGCACATTCCGCACAACAATTCTTTCGTCGGCCAGCTCGTCATTGACCCAATAGAGAAGTTGGTTGACGATTTCGTTGACTTGCGGATCATCGCGGGATTCCGGAACCAAAACTCGGACACTTTGACCTACAACAAGGTAATTTTGGATAAAACTTCCAATTTTTTCCTAAAAATCAAATGAATTAGAAAGAAAATAAATTACTAACCATCTTCCAGCAATTTCAGATCGGGTTGATGGAGAACCAAACAGCTTTCGATGGTCTCCTTGCCTTCTTTTTCGAGGAGTTCGGCTTCTTGCTCTTCTTTTTGTTCCTTGCTCAATTGGGCATCTCTCTCAGCGGAATGACCACGTTCCTCTGGCGGGACAGACTTCTTCCTCTTGGTCAGAGTGCCAAACTTTCCTAGGAAGCCCTCTTTCTCTTCCTAAAAGGTGAAATTTAGGTAGTACATAGTAAACGGATGCACAGTAGAGCTAGAAAAATCGATCGCAGGACCTCAAAAGTTATCTGGAAACCTTCATTGTGCTCTAAAATCCAAGAAAAAGGAGACAAAACCTTACCTTTTTGGGCTTTCGGCTCTGAACAGTAGAACTTTCATATTCATGGACCTCTTGCCGGTGATGGCCCGACCGGCCCTCGCGTCCCATCATTGAAGGGATCATCTCTGAAAAAGTCTCACTCCATAAGTTTTTAGACAAAAAATGCCTGTCAAAAATGTCAACCATTCACGAAATATCAGGCAAAATTAAGAGAGCCTAGTGTAAGATAATTTTTTGAAAAACTCGAGATGCATATAACAAAGGCCAAAAATTTGAGGGAAACGAGAAATTCTCTTCGATTTTTGGCTGCCTGCATTATATTGGTCGGAGCGTAGGCGGCTGTTTCCAGCCAAAAGGTGATTGAGAAGACGTTTCGGCCTCGATCGGGGAAAAGAGGGGGCTTTCGAAAGGGTTTGTATGGAGAGAAGTGGCCAGGGGATCTTAATCAGGCAAGTAGCGGAGGGAAATTGACAAAAACGGGAGATATCAGACTATTTTATTGAAAAATTATATTATCCATGACCGCAGGTCAAATTTGATAAAAAAAATTTTATTTTCTGGCCAAAAAAGTGAAAATAAAAGTATCCACAGAATTTTACAAACTCTAAACGTCATTTAAAAAAAATTCTTTTACTCATGACTCACCTTTTCTCACAAGGCTTTATCAAAATTTATTCAAAAACTTTAAAAAACAATTAGAAAACTAAACCACATGCAAAAATAAGCCAATATTAGAATTTACAAAGTGTTAAAAATACCCAAGCACCAGTGAAGCCATCCAAACTACCCTTTTTCACCACTAAAACCAATAAAATCCAAAAAAAATCCGGCGGAAAATCCATAAAAAGCAAGATCGTCAAATTTTATGCATTTTCAATCTATGGAACAAAACGTGGGCTTCAAATCTCCCGCCATCAGTTTTCGCGACGAGACCGACCCGATTACGGTGGTTGGCTTTGTGTGTCCGTAGGTTTTCAGTGGAAAAATTTTTCTTTTTCCTAAAATTGTTTTACAAGTTTTACATCAAAGTAGTTGTAAAGTGATGGAAATTTTACAATTTTGAGTGTTTATTCTGATCGGCATTATTTTTGTTGGTATTGATGTATTTTCGGGTTGTTTCACCGTGATCCTGCGAGTTTTTTAGATGGTTTTTTGTTTGATATTGTACTTGATGCTGTTTCAGGTTCGTTTCGCCTCGTTTGGTTAAACATGAGCGACGCCGTCACCATTCGTACCCGAAAAGTGTTGGGCAACCGTCTTCTCAACAGACGCCAAATGGTATGTTGTTTTCTTGGTGTTTGCTTTGAAATTTAGGATGAAACTTGGTCTTGACAGGTTGGTGGGGTTTTGCAACGGGCAACAAAGTCGTTTTGGTTGCGTTATTTTCGAGATGCTTCGATTTTTTGCCAGAAGTTCCCCTTGGAATTTTGGTTCTTTTTGTCTTTATTGAAAAAGCGTTGAATTTTCGTTTATAAGGTATAAAAACAGTTAAGAACCTCCTCGGCTACAGGCTAGAATATTTTAAAGTAGTTTCTTTCTCCCTTAACTGATAAATTTCCTCATGTATAAGGTGAAAATTTCCACAAAAATTTCGTAGTGACTGTTGCAAAACATTTGCCATTTCCTTTTCTTATTTTTGTCGATTTAAATGTGATTTATTGTTGATTGTACTTAGCTTTGCACTACTTACTTTTGTATTATTATAGGTTGTTGAGATCATCCACCCAAACCGCCCTTCAGTCCCCAAGAATGAGGTCCGTGAGCGTCTTGCCAAGATGTACAAAGTGTCCCCTGATGTGATCGTCGCCCACGACTTCAAATGCCACTTTGGTGGTGGTCGTTCAACCGGATTTGCCCGTATCTACGAGACCGTTGACTACATGAAGAAGATTGAGCCTAAACATCGCGTCTGGCGCGTAAGTTTCAATACTATTTTTATCACTAAAACTGATTGGTCATAATTATTCTACCGAAGGTCTTTTTTAATAATCTAAAGTTTTATCAGTTAATTTATCATAGACAATATAATAATTCCGATGATTTTTAGCACACTGGTGACAAGGTCGAGAAGCCCGGTCGCAAACAGCGAAAGGAACGTAAGAACAGATCCAAGAAACTCCGTGGTACCGCCAAGGTCAAGGGAGCCGCCGCAGCCAAGAAGTAAACTGTTTGATTTGTTGTTGATTTATTTGAAAAAAGTAAAGCTGTTGTCTCTTTCTTAATTCTTGGGGTCTCCTATTGGCACTGATAGCCTGTCTTCAAGATTTTATATTCTATTCAGTAAATTGGTTGATACATTGGTAAAAAAATCGGAATTTATTTTGGTTTTGGCATGTGAAATTGCTGAGTGTGGAACATGGTGTTTTACGGTCTGCGCAGAATGTCATAAACCCTCAAAATTCGCTGTTTTTTATTCCGAAACACGCAATTTGCCTTCGAAATCAAACATTTTTGGGTTTCGAAAGGCTGTTGAGCTTTTGCGCGGCCCATAAATCTGGACACGAAATGGTCCAAAAAGGTATTAATTTTGGCTCGAGAAGTCTTATAAATCAAAACGAATGTCGTATTTTATGAATATTTGATGTTTCTCGATACCTAATTCATTCGTTGCATCGAGCTTCCGTTCTATGACGTCATTGCAACCAAAAGATTCGTTGAAATCCGAACATCTTTCACTTTTCCTCCCACAAGATGCCATACCTCATCCGGCTGAAACAATTGAGTCCAAAAAACGGCGCGGCCGAAGAGATTTGGTTGGGTTTTGTGCGGCGGTGCAGTCATGCATCACCATCATCTTCATATGCATCACACCTTCGCGGCCCATTGTGCTCTGTTTTTTTGGATGGGATCGACTTTCCAGGGTGGGTTTTTGAACAATTGGGCTGACGCTGGGTACGTGAGAAAGCTCACCCTAAGCGTGTGCTGGAATTCTTTTGTGTAGCTTGGGTCATGAGGTACATAATTTTTGTTTACTTTGTAGTTGATATTCATTTGGATTATTGAATTTAGCTCTAAAATGGTTGATAAAGCGGATTTTTTTGAGAAAGAAATTTTTTTTTGTCATCTTTGACTTTACTTTACCCATCTAGCCCCTCTAAAACAATGTGAGCGCAACAATTCTCCCAAATTTCGTCAAATCTTGATATGTCCCTCTTGTGGTGTGTCTCCTGTTTCCAAATAGAACTCCTTTGGCTGTTTGTGGATGCCCATCTTTATCTGCCGATGTCATTTTTTCGCGGCGAATTTGGGGTCGGGAAATTCGATTTGAGATGGAGGGGCCCTATCCCTTTCCTCGACAAACGGATTTCACTGCTCCGTGCCCACAGCCGAACTAAATACAGGCCCGTTTATGAAGTGACTTGATCTTTGGTGCCGGCTGGAAAAGTTGTGGTTGGTTTCTGAACTTGTTGATCTTGTTGATGACCAACTTTTTGCATTTCTGGGATTATTTCTTGATCCGAACAGGAGTATGACGGTGCACAGGTCTTTTAAAGTTTTTACGTCATCGATTGGTGTCGAAAAATTTTAAAAATCGGGAATGGGTTCAACGTTTTTTGTGTGGTCGGCTAGCCGCGGCAGGTATTGCAAAATTAAAAAAAGTTTTTGATACTCTGAAAGTTTTTTGTTCTAGTGGTGATAATTTTTACCTTATTAGAACGAACGACGTTCAGAGTATCAAATACTTTTTTTTAATTTTGCAATACCTGTCGCGGATAGCTGACAACACAAAAAACTGTAGAACCTATTCTCGATTTTTACATTTTTCGACACCAATCGATGGCGGAAAAACTTTAAAACACTGCGCACAGTCTAAATTCACGTTTGGATCAAGAAATAATCCTGAAATGCATAAAGTTGGTCATCAACAAGATCAACATGGTCGGAAACCGACCTCAACTTTCCAACCAGCACCAAAGATCAAGTCACTTCGTAAACGGGCCTGTATTTAGTTCGGCTGTAGGGCAGAGTAGTGAAATTTTTTTTGTCGAGGAAAGGGATGTGTGGAATAGCCTATTTGAGACTGTTTTGTTTGCTGATAAAAACTTTATTGAATCTTCCAGTGTGACATAGCCAAGTCTATTGTTTTCTCCAGCGATCTGTAGCCTAAGTCGAGCTCATTGAAGGTCAAATTACTGTAGAATAGGCACTGCATAATATCCTTTGTCATATTCCCCCATTTCCCCTAAAACTTTCCAATAACCAGTTTTATGTCCGCCCATACGCATGCATATATGACACTTTGCATGCCATTTTATAGTTCATAAATTCCACAAAGTGTCGCCCGAGGCTGTTTATTTTCGCCAACGGCATTATTGTTTTTGTTGCGCAATTCTCATTTCGCAGTTATTGGCTTCATGAACTTGAAGTGCGGTCGGCTTAACGTTTGAGTCCGAGCTGAAAATAGCGTATTTATGGCTAGTTAAGGTCCTAACGATGGTTTTGGGGAGCTGAGAATTTGTCAGCGAGCTCTGCTGTTGGGGTCTTATGGCAAATTTTGTCTCTGCTGTTCAGGCATCGTCGAGATGTTCAACGGTATTTACTGTTGATCAGAGTGTCTGGAAAGAACTTTTCTGACCGCTCTCTCCACCTAAAGCACTCTCTCGTCGGAAAAAATCGCTGAAATATCGGTTGCCTCTGCAACGCGCAACCCAAAAATTTTAGAAACTGAAACATGTCCTACAACTTTCTGAACAAACAAATTTGAAATTGTTAGCTGATCTTTGACTTCCCCGACTCCATTTTTAATTTGCCCCTCCCTCCAAACGCCCCATCAAATTTCGCGGTTGGAACGCCAAAGTTCACGCGCCTTCCCCTCACCTCATTGCCCCCTTCAGTAGCCTTCCCTGAGGTCCTTATTTTGAATGTAAAAATTCTTTTTTTTTTATTCACCTGAAAAATGGCGCCGAAAAGTGGGGCCATTTATATTTCGTTTGGGCTTTCATCGCGGGTCTTTTCGAAAAAAATATGTAAAGAATATCATCCGAAAGTATTTTTGAGCGGGAGGATTTGGATACTCGAGATTAGCGGCACCCATGCATTTTTTTTTATTTTTTGGGCTTTATTTAAATTTCGAGGGCCCGTCTAGGTGAGGGTGTTGGTTGGGAAGGGATTAGAAGGGTGAATAGAAGTTGTAGTTTTTGAAAATGATGTGTAAGTATAATATGTCTGTGTATTAAAGTTGGGAAGTATAATCCTCCTATCTTTTTCAAATTTGGCGTGAATCTTTTGTTCAGGCTATGAACCAATTGTTGAAAATTGCAGCTCGCGCTTTGCAGACGCAGCTGAGATATTCAACAGGTTTTTGCAAACAGGAGAATATGGAAAATGAGGAGAGCGGAGAAGGGAAAACCGTCCAAAATTGGTTTGGATATGGCAGAAAAGTGTTTCTTCCCTGGTCTCTCCCTCATTTTTCATACTCTCTTGTTTGCAAAAACCTGTTGAATATTTCAGCTACGCCTGCAAAGCGCGAGCTACAATTTTCACCAACTGGTTCGTATCCTGAACAAAAGATTCACGTCAAATTTGGAAAAGATAGGAGGGTTGTACTTCCCAACTTTAATATACAGACATATTATAGATACTATCCACATCATTTTCCAAAACTACACCTTCAATTCGCCCTTCTAATTCTTTTCCAGCCAACACCCTCACCTAGACAAGTCTCAGCCGCCGTGTAATGCGCAAGCTTGAATTTTTATGGCACCGGCTACTCTTCTCGGAATAAAAAACCCTCTAACTCAATTACGTCAAACTCCGGGCTCTCCGACAAACCCCCTTAATCGGCCTACTCATCCCAAACCATTTGAGATTGACCATTTTTTTGCGGCCCTAAACGTTTGGGGGTCATTTGATTGAATCGCGGGGGGAAGCGAGGGGAATTAGGTTTCGGTCAAGGGCTAATAAGGTTTATTTCCGTTTATGTCCACTACATCAAAAAAAGTTTGATTCAATTTGGGCCGGAAGATGAGAAAAACGTGGTGGCCGCGTAAAACGGGGGAAGGAAATGCAGATTGGTCTTGGATTGGAGCCAAGAAAGAAACGTGAAGGGTTTTTTTGGGTTATTGTAGAAGGGAAGGGGAGAGGAACATATTGTTCTGTTATATATAGGGTTCCAAAAACAGTCATGAGCCAAGAATTGGAAGCTTGTTGAAGCGATCAAAGTGGGCTTGTTTTTAAAAGACGATTTCTGAGTCAGTGAATCAGCCGCCAGTTAGCCGTGGACATAGGAAAAAATCGATTTTGAGTTTTTTGCATTAAAATGACTGTTGGAAGGGGCTAAGCAAAAGCGAACAATATTTTTTCCCAAATCCTTCGTTAAGGTATATTTTTTTACAATTAACTGTTTTAGAAGTAATCGCCTCTAGCTGTGGTATCTTGCCTTACAGTGCAGTGATTTGACGGCTACTGTAGTTTTTGACCCTTGCGAACACGATGGAGTGATTATTTTTCCCGGTTTCCTACTGTAACATACCGTAATACCGTATCGACCGCTAAAAAACGGTCGTAAAATCTTTGTTTCTAAAAACCCCCAGCTGATTTTTTGATATGTTAATCAGCGTAAAATTCTGCTCTAGACCCAATCAAAAAAAGTGCAAAGAGTGGTGCGACAAATTTCGTGGTGTAGTGGTTAGTGGGCGGGACTACCATTCCAGCGTCCCGGGTTCGATCCCGGCTGGGTGCAAATGTCAAAAAAATGCCGCAAATCAATTTTAATGTAAAAATAAGGAATGTCCAAGGAACATAAAGCAATTTTAAATAATTATGACACCTCTGTTTTCGAGTAAATCCGGTTTAATGTAATCTTAGCGGCTGAAAACGGAAAAAATAAAAGTGCTTCAAATGGGATAAAATTCATAGATATGGTTCTACAGGTTATTATAAGAAATTTTTCCGTTAGTCTTTTTTTGTAACTTACAGTATAACGGATTACTGTAGCATAATGCAGAATTTCGTATTTTGCGTTCTACATGGCGAAAAAGAGCTGGAAGTAAAGTCATAATGTGCAGAATTATTACCAAGAAGCTTATCTGTGAGAAAAAATATTTTTTATGGCAGTATGATTTGGTATACCTGAATAATCTTACACCGTATTAGCGATCAACGATGACATCAGAACATACTCGAAATAATTTGGAATTTTGTTTCGGGTAACGAAAGGCGACTTTTTTTGGTGGCAGAGCGGTCTAACAAAAAATCCCGACCTTTTTTCAAGAACATCGAAGGGAAAATCGAATTTTTTGTAATAAGTTGCATGTTACAGTAATCCTTTATACTGTAAGCTACAAAAAAAGACTAACGGAAAAGTTTCTTATAATAACCTGTAGAACCATATCTATGAATTTTATGGAAGCAGGCCCTTTCGGGGTGGGCCCTTTCGGGGTGGGCTTTTCGGGGTCGCCCTTCCGGGGTGAGCCCTTTCGGGGTCGGGCCTTCCGGGGTGGGCCCTTTCGGGGTCAAGGCAAATACAGGGGTTTCCGGGTCCCGGAGCATAAATAATTTTATTTTTTTGAAACTACTGATTTATGACGTAATCTTGTAAAATCTTTGAAAAAATGATAGAACAAACACCGAGATTGAAAATGTTAAAAATGACATTTGATAAAAGTTGGAAACAACCGACTCGTGGGGTGTGTCAACGGCGCTGAATTCGAAAATCACGTTCATTTTTTGAGATTTTTTCAAAATTAAAGAGACAATGTTTTTATTGCAGAAATTCTTGATTGCATTGCGCCGAATCTGGCGTTCAAAGAATTTAACTTTTTAATATGCATACAAGGAAACTTTTATCAAATGTCATTTTTAACATTTTCAATCTCGGCGTTTGTTTTATCATTTTTTTCAAAAATTTTACATGATTACGTCATAAAATTAATCAGTAGTTTAAAAAAATAAAATTATTTATGCTCCGGGACCCGGAAACCCCAGTATTTGCCTTGACCCCGAAAGGGCCCACCCCGGAAGGCCCCACCCCGAAAGGGCTCACCCCGGAAGGGCGACCCCGAAAAGCCCACCCCGAAAGGGCCCACCCCGAAAGGGCAGTAACCCGAATTTTATCCCATTTGAAGCACTTTTATTTTTTCCGTTTTCAGCCGCTAAGATTACATTAAACCGGATTTACTCGAAAACAGAGGTGTCATAATTATTTAAAATTGCTTTATGTTCCTTGGACATTCCTTATTTTTACATTAAAATTGATTTGCGGCATTTTTTTGACATTTGCACCCAGCCGGAATCGAACCCGGGACGCTGGAATGGTAGTCCCGCCCACTAACCACTACACCACGAAATTTGTCGCACCACTCTTTGTACTTTTTTTGATTGGGTCTAGAGCAGAATTTTACGCTGATTAACATATCAAAAAATCAGCTGGGGGTTTTTAGAAACAAAGATTTTACGACCGTTTTTTAGCGGTCGATACGGTATTACGGTATGTTACAGTAGGAAACCGGGAAAAATAATCACTCCATCGTGTTCGCAAGGGTCAAAAACTACAGTAGCCGTCAAATCACTGCACTGTAAGGCAAGATACCACAGCTAGAGGCGATTACTTCTAAAACAGTTAATTGTAAAAAAATATACCTTAACGAAGGATTTGGGAAAAAATATTGTTCGCTTTTGCTTAGCCCCTTCCAACAGTCATTTTAATGCAAAAAACTCAAAATCGATTTTTTCCTATGTCCACGGCTGACGCACTGACTCAGAAATCGTCTTTTAAAAAGTGTCGCAGAGACACAAAAAAAGTCTTTTTTAAAGGTAACTAGAAGACCCTTAGTGACGTCTTCAGGGTCATAAAGGGGTTGTCGGAAAAGTGCTTTTGCTTGTCTATTCAAAACAAACAGTCTTTTTGTGTTTCTGCAATTCTTTCGGATTTTAAATGTGGACTTAATCTGATATAACTTTCACTCAACCGAGACTTCATGGGACGTAAAACCTGATTCACTTCGAATTTCTGTACTTTTACCAATTTTTTACTAAAAATCTCTGATGTTTCTGCAAAACGCGAGTTGAAATTAATCTTCCTGGTGTATAGGTGGCTTGAATAGTACCATAAGGCTAACCAGGCATTTTAAAGGTTCAGAAACCATGTTTTGAAAACAAACTCTCATAACTTCGAAAGCTTTCCGGACAACGTAAAATTTCTATCATACTGCGTATAGTGGTGGACCTGATCCAGTGGCAAAAAACGTACCATTTTGATCCGGGAAGTATCAAAAATGTGGCAAAATTCTTCCCTCTCCAGCTTTCGAAATCTGAGTTTTTCACTTCGAGAGGGAGGTATAATATTTTGCCACATTTTTTGATGCTTCCTGGATGCAAAATGGTACGTTTTTTGCCACTGGTTCGAATCACTGTATCAGTCTCAAATGCCAAAGGGTTGACTTCAAAAGCGCGTTATTTTTGTGAAGGAAGGGCACGCCCTTCAATAAACCGTAATCCCCCACTGTAGATTACGGCACAAAAATCGTAATTCTGATCGATAAATGCCGCAAACTGGTTGCCCAAAAGTGTCGCGACACCCTCCTTTTGAGTACGTTCTCTGTAAATTTAGACTATCCAACTTTCCCTCCTTTTATTTTGTACTTCCACCTCTATCTTTGGCGGATATTATACTCAAATTCGACGTTCTCTCAATAACAATTCTTGTTTCTCCTTCAAATTTATACCCAACCAACTTTCGTGTTATGACTTTACATCAGCAATACGTTTATTACAACCGGGAGTTCTTCCGTTTTACTATAAGTACATGTAAATTGAGTCCAAGTCCATATAAGCTCTAAATTGGGAATGAATTGGTCTGAAATTTTCAGTTTTTTATCTCAATTTTGGAAGTGGGGATAGTTCAGAGTGGAGTGGATAGATTAGGGGATTTTCGGGATTTAACGGATAAAAATTTATTCTGTTTTGTTTCAATTTAGTCTAACTTCAACTCATTCTTCTAAATAAACAACTAAAACTTGATAAAACCAAATTCAACGCCAAAAATTTGGTTTTTTGAGGGAAAATTGCAAAAATAAGACGTTACATAAGATTCCCAGAAAAATCCTTCTGAAGGTACGAGGAGGACGCTAGAATTTGAGCTGATTATCCACCCGATTAACTGGGTATTACTTTTTTTGAATATTTTTCTGCGGATTTGCCCGGTTCACTCCTTCTTTCTGAATGAAAAGTGGTAATTTATAATTTCGAGTCGAGGGAGGAAAATGAGGATGTTTTAGACCACTTTACGGGCTCCAGATTATCACTATAGGAGTGTGATTGAACTTTATCGTGTTTTAGTTTGTGGGTGGACTTCTTAAACACTGGATTTAAGTGGCTGGGAAATGTGAAAGGGCAAAACAATGAATCTGTTGGAGGTTCTTTGTAGTTGTGTTAGAAGTCTGTCAAAGTTTTCACAATTTTTTTTGTGAACGCCCTTTATTATTTGCTAAAAATTTTTGCTTGCACTTTGCAGGCGTAGATGAAACTTTTTGCGATCTTTGCACACGAGAGATCATGGAAAAGGAGGAGAGCTGGCTGGATGAAGAAATATCTCGGCCACTCCCACTTCCTCATCCTTCAAAAATATTATGTTTTACAAGGAAAACACTTCTATGGGGTATGGAGCTACAGTGACGGACCTGATCCAGTGGTATAAAACGTACCATTTTGCATCCAGAAAGTGTCAAAAAATATAGCAAAATACCTCCCTCTCCTACTAAAAAAGACTCCGTTTTGAACGGCGCGCCCTTTCCCTCACAAAAAGAGCGGGTGCGCTTTTGAAATCGTAGTTTTTTTTCACTTGGAGAGGGAGGTATTTTGCTACATTTTTTGAAACTTCCCGGATGCAAAATGGTACGTTTTTTGCCGTTGGATCGGGTCCGCCACTGTAAAGTCGCTAACGTGATTTTTGGCGTTTGTACTATGCAGAAAAAGTCAGAGTGCGAGCGAGAGCCCAAAAAAAGCCTTTGCACGGTGCAAACAGAAATTTTGTTTTTCTCACAGTCCATGTCGCTGAAATCACTCCAGCGACTTTGCGAGCTCACTAAATAGTGTTTCCTTCGAAATTTGGCATAAATTTTATCAAAAAGGAGCAAAGCGATGCCGTTGATCTCCCGTCCAGACATAAACAGAAGCCTCAAAACACGCACTGTACGTTCGTATGTTGCGGACAGTGGGAAACCGAAATGTGTGGACGGAAATCTTCGTCTTCCCCCTTTCCTTTCTCCCTGCGGTCTTCGTCATGGACGGCGGGTCCGAAAAAAGCCGATTATGGCCATCTTGAATCTCCGACGGCATCCCCCTAATGTCTTCTTTTTTCGTGACTTTCGAACTTCCCACAAAAAAATCTCGAGATTTCCCCGCGCCGTAAAAAACTTCCGACAATGTTTTTGGAAAAAGAGGAGGAGGAAGAGGGAGGGGATCGCATTGTTTTAGTGAGCCCATAATGGAGCGGGTAATGTGGGTATGACTATAAAATGAATCATTTTTGATTGGGTGTCATAATGAGCTCATAATGAGGAGATTGAGGGTGGAGAATTGGTGTTTGGGTTTTGTTATTGGTAACGGACACAAGCTCTTTTGTCACCCAAGCATGCGTACAAATAAATAATGACTAAACTTGTCGGGGAAAATGCTCAGAGTTGTTCAGACTGCATTCATTTGAGGCTCTGAAAAGTCTGCGTGGGTTTTGTAATATCTGATTCCTCCAAAAAGTTTGCCTTACGTTTTGCAAAATCAACAGGTCTACTTGTCGAAAACAAAAGTTTATTACGCTTTTTCGAAAGTGCCTCGACTTTTTTGGTTTTTTTCGCACATACACCATGTTGCGCAACGCATTCCTTTTCGAAAAATTTTGCACTGTGCAATTTCTTTTCTTGCGCCCAAAATTCGCGAACTCCGTTGAGGGAAGCTTGCGCCGCCGCGACATTGCGCTTACACGGTGCAAAAGATCAAATGCACGCCTCAAAAACGGGTTTTGTGCACGGTGCGGCCCACGACAAAACTTTGGAAAAAATCGAAATATCAATTCCTGAAAGTTTTAGCACGCGCTTTGCAAGCGCCGCCATGATATTGAACGATCTTTTCCGCCGAGAGAGTACACTAAACGCGGAGAGCGGTCAGGGAAAAAAAACACTTTTTGGCTATAACTTTGCTAGTTTCGTGCGAAAAAGTTGATTTTTTTTGAAACATTACCATCTATGATAGAAATAGGCATGAAACATTTCGTGCCGGAATTCGGCAAAAAGTGTCAAATTTTCGCCGACTTTGGATCTAAATATCTCGGTTGTTTCTGCAAAGCGCGAGTTAGGATTCTCGCATGTATTTTACGAGGAAAGTACTTCTATGGGGTATGGAGTTACAGGTCTCATATATCAAAAAATTCGCGAAATTTTTCTAATTCAAAATATGCAAAAATTAGCTGCCTAATTTTGGTTTGTAAGGGTGAAAAAATCCTCAGAACTTTTCTCGCAACACCACGAAAATTGCCTTTTTTACATTGGAACTACTAATTAAGGTGTAGTATAAATTAAATTTGATATTTTAAGGCTTGTCAAGATACCAGAGTTTACTTTAGCTCAAAAACAAGCATATGATTTGGTAAAAACTTCGTCAAAAAGGCATTTGCGCGGTGTTTTGAGAAAAGTTCCGAGGGTTTTTTCACCCTTACAAACCAAAATTAGGCAGCTAATTTTTAAATATTCTGAATCAGAAAAATTTTGCGAATTTTTTGATATATGATTCGACCTGTAACTCCATACCCCATAGAAGTACTTTCCTTGTTAGAAAAAAATGTTCTAAATTTGTGCCAAGTTTCAACAAAATGAGCATCGCACTTGGCGTACTTCCCTTATTTAACAAATCCGTATCATTGCGGGTAAATAGTCATCCACCAAAATATGTCCATATTTTTCCGCATTTTCTAATGTTTCGCCTCTTTATTACAAAATAAATTTCACTTTTTATTTCCGCACAGGGCTTAGGATCCATAATTAATAAGCGGGCGGGGGAAACAAATGATTTGTATGTAATTTTTAATTAGTCAAAATACGAAAAACAACTGCTCTATGGCGGATTTTATGGGATAAATTCGCTGTTTACGGCCGCAAAAAAGTTATTGGGATTATCGGAACAGTAACAAAACAAACGTCACGACTTGGCCGATTGAGGGCTTAATTTTTAATTTTTTGAGGAAGTTATATATATATTTTTTGTCTGTCTGTTCAAGGTAAGATCGCTTTTGGCCTTTTATACCTTTCAATAACTCAGGATAAAGAAAGCTAACGTTAGTATGTAGCTAAAATTTGAAAAAGTGGGAAAATTTCAAGCCTTTGCCAAGTCTCTGCCGAGGCTTCGCCGAGCGTCCGCCGACCATACAACGGCTTTACCAGGCCTCGTAGGCACTTCCTACAACCTTTTTTTGGGGATCCACATGCGCTGCGCCCCGTATCGATCGATTTTGTGACGGCCCGAATTGTCGTCGATCCTAAGGGACATGCAAGATTTTGCTCGATTGCTCTGGGCAATCGATAAATCATTGTAAATAAACAGGATAATCGATGTAATATTGGCGGGTCTTTTGTTCTTAGGGCCAATTAGAGTTTGTATTTTAATTTATGATCTAGCTTAGATGCATTCAATGCCTTGGGGCTTTTGAAAAGTGAAGTTTTGGTGAAGTGATGACTTTTCGTTAAAAACGTTCTGATTTTTCCTTCAAGGCATATTTTTTTGTTTTTTTTCTACATAAGGGAGAAGCTATAGTCGTTTTACATTTTTTCACAAAGCAACCACCTTATTTCGCCTTTTAGTTTTGCGAAATTTCAAATTTCCCACTTTTTCAAAAATTCTCTGGCATTCTGTTGCAAGGCATAGAAATTGCAAAATAACTCACCAAATCATCACTAAGGGCTTCTACTACATAGTGCACTCAAGATTGATATGATTTTCTAAATTTCCCCATTCAATTTATATTATCCTTTCTCACGTCTAACATCTCTCTAAAATAATATCAAAAACCTCTCAATTCCTGATGAAATCCCTTTCTGGACTCGAAAAAAAAGACTGTCCTCGGATTATTGGTTGCATCTCTCTGCCGGGTCTTGCTTGATAATCTTGCAAACAAAAGCCAAATTAGTAAAAGTAATACGACAAGTCTGGAGGCCCTCAAGCCGGAAACGTCGGATTTCTCGGTCTTATTCGATTTCCACTGCTTTTTTGCTATATCGATGGCATATGCTCCCGTTGAAATATGGGAGAGGACTTCTGGCTTTAATTCATCCGGATTTATGGGGATCATGCCTTGGCGCTTATTCATGGACAAGATAAATTGGACTCTTCCCCTTTCCCGATGCGTTTGGGCGCTTGTAAATTGTACTGTCATCGGAGAGGGCGGTTTTATCCACTCTCGGAAATCGTCTTCTTCAATTTTCTAATAGCATCCGCCATTCCGCGGGTCTGTTTTTGCAGGTCTTCGCCTACAATTGTTTGGTCGTCATAATAACGAAGCGAAGTCAAGTTGGACCTTCTTTTGTCTAAAGGCACGCGTTTTTCCGCCGTGAGATTTTTGCGCCCGACTTTTTTGGGGAATGTTCGAGCGAAGTGACACTTTACAAGGTCTCCTCAGTTTAAAACACGATTTTTGAGTCAGGGCACCAGCGGTGGTCTTAGGAAAAAATCGATTTTGAGATTTTTGGCTTAAAATAGTCGGTAGCACTTGTGGAAGAAAAGCTAAAAATATTTTTGCCCAATTAGCCTCTGGAGGCCGATGTGATCCGAACACAGAAATCAAACCTGGCATACAGGGGTTTTGACACCCAGCAATCTGAAAATCGTAGCCTTTTTACCGTCAGATTACTGTAACATGGTCATACTGTAATCCGGTCGATAAAAATCGACCATAACTGCCCCACTACTGGCTGACGCAGTGACTCAAAAATCGTGTTTTAAGTTGTTTTATCGATCTTCGGCAAAGACATGTACGTTTGCGGAGAAAAAGTCGGTTAACTTGTGTCCGAGGTGTTGCTTTTTCGATTTTTATCCATTTTTGCAAACTTTTTACAGTGGCGGACCTGATCCAGTGGCAAAAAAACGTACCATTTTGCATCCGGTATCTAAAAATGAAGCAAAATACCTCCCTCTCCAAGTGAAAATACTCCGATTTCAAAAGTGCTCTTTGTGAGGGAAAGGGCGCGCTCTTCAAAACGGAGTTTTTTCACTTAGAGAGGGAGGTATTTTGCCGCATTTTTTGATACTTCCCGGATGCAAAACGTTTTTTGCCACTGGATCAGGCCCGTCACTGTAATCCACAGAGTTTCTCTGATAAAGAACTTGTAAAAATTAGCTGTCCAATGTTAGTCTATCCATAATTTTTAACAATAAATGTGTTTTTTGACGGAAGAAATTCACCGCTCCCCGACTTTTGGGGTCGACGACAGTTCGGGTCAACACAAAATCCATCAATACTGGGAGTAGGGAAGGTGGATATCAAAAAAAGGTTGTATGACGTGACTACGAGGCCTGGCAAGGCCGTTGAATGTTCAGCGGACGCTCGGCGCACGTCAAGGTAAAATAGAAGAAAAACGGGCGCCCAATGAAAAAGCCTAGAATTTTTTTTGGCATTCTGCCCTGTGCAATTTCGTTTTTGTCCAAATAGTTTGCAATATTTTGACATAAAGATTAATAGTAAATCACAAGATATTGATACCAATAGAAAGCTCGAGAGTTGCTTAAGCTAATAGAACCAAAATATACCCATAATTGTAGTATTTTGACAGTCTTCCAAGGCGAAGAATACAACGTCTAAATAAAAGTTTGTATCGACGATACCGAGTCAGAGAGCGCTGGAAGGAGGTATAGGCTCCACGTCAAAAAATCCTTAAACTGTTCTTCGAGTATCTACACCGGTCTCATCCCGCTTGATGGGACAGTTTTTTTGATATTCGGCCTTGAAATTTACACTATTTTTAGTCTAGCTCGAACCATGTTCAAAAAATGCGTCACAATGACACCCATTTAGAATGTACCAGCGGGACAAAAAACAGTTGTATACTACTAGTAGTACTCCCTAGAGTTGCCATAAAAAAATTAGGTTAAAAATTGTTGTTATGTGCAATTTTGATGACAGATTTTATGAATTTTTTTTTGCTGTGAGAACCTTTGCAATGCCCGAAATTTCTTGACGCGCGGCGAAGGCTTGGCGGAAACTTGGCGAAGGCTTGCAATATTTTCACTTTTTCGAATTTTATTAACTATTGCTAACCTTAATTTTTTTGACCCTAAGTTATTGTAACATATAAAAGACCAAAATTTGACGGCAAAAAACGAAGATCCATAACTTTTATCTAGACATTATTGATGTGAGTACATGTAAAATAATTCAAAATAAGTGATGAGCTATCCTAGGACCGGTGAATCTTATTATTTCTACTATCTAAGCCTTCTCCTAGCCTCCCCCATGCATACAACGACGAACCGACGCGATCCATAGTATCGCTGACCCGAAAAGTCGTAGCGCCGGATTTCCACGCCTCCGCAAACGGGGCTCTAATTCACGGCCTATTACTCCATACCCCATAAAAGTGAGTGTATACTCCTTGTTAAAAAATTATAATTTAAGTCTGGGACAGTTTGCATTAAAAGCCAAGCGTGGTACTTCCAGAACGCTCCTTGTAAACCGAACCCAAAAAAATTGTGTAAAAACTCAAACTCTGCGTAAACACGATTACAGGAAATATTTTTTGTACATGCATCTTGCCCATTGCCCTTTTTTACTGCCTTGTTTTTACACCCATATTCATTTCATACATCTATTCCGCAAAAAAAACTTTTACCCCTCAAGCAGTGTATCCGATTACATTGTCGTGCCGGAAATGCGAAATAGAAAGGTATTTTTTCGGGTCCCATATTTACATAACCACTTGTCGTGCTTTATTATTGACGTATGGAAATTTGTGTACCTGTGTGTGGAGGGAGGTGACATTTATGGTTTGATTGGAGGGAGGAGGATTGTGGAGTTGAGGTGGAAGGTGGGAGAGCCAGTTCTTTTTTTATTTTTACAAGTAGAGTGGCTGACCTGACTCAGTGGCAAAAAACGTACCATTTTCCATCCGGAAAGTATCAAAAAATGTGGCAAAATACCTCCCTCTCCTAGAAAAACTGTCCGTTTTGAAGGGCGTGCCCTTCCTTCACAAAAATAACGCGCTTTTGAAGTCGACCCTTTGGCATTTGAGCATGATGCTTGACCGAAAATCGGAAAAAATCAATTGACTTTTTTTGGCGTACGTAAAAGCTAGCAATAGAAAGAGAAAACAGTCATATTTTCCGCCAAGCTTTTGAAAAAAATTTTTTTCTTTTTCAAAAAATCTCAAAATTTTTAAAATACGGTAAAACCAAATAGTCTGTTCTCTAGCCTGTTCCCAAAGTCACTGGAGTAATTTTTGTAGAAAAAGTGAGGGTGCAAGCGACAGCCCGAAAAAAACAAAAAATTGCACGGTGCAAAAAGCAAAATATTGCACAGGGCAAAGTGAGTTGTTGTTTTCGCACAGTGCATGCCGCAAAAATCACTCCAGCGACTTTACAAATGTACTAGTATTTGAGCTTAAAACATGGCCAAAAATCGGAAAGAATTACTGATTTTTGATGGCTGAAAAGTGCATAAAAGCTAGGAATAGAAAAAATTAGTCACATTTTCGTCAAGTTTCGTTAAAATCGGTGGACTTAAAAAATTGACATTTTTATTTTTTTTCAAAAAATTGACTATTTTTTTGATTTTCTTTCCAGAAAATCAGCATTTTTTTTATTTTTCCCCAAAAAATCGATTTTTTTCTAAAAGATTGGCAATTTTTTACCCAAAAAATCGATTATTTTTTTATTTTTTTTGCAAAAAAATCGACAAATTTAAAAAAAAATTTTTTCGCAAAAAATCTACATTTTTTTTTCCACATGAAAAATCGACAAATTTTTTTTATTTTTCCCCAAAAAATAGACATTTTTTTCAAATTTTTTTTTTTCATTTTTTTTTCAATTTTTTTTTAAATCGACAATTTTTTTTAATTTTTTTCTTCAAAAAATCTCAAAATTTACAAAACACGTCAAACAAAAATTTACCTTCAAATCCGTCTCACCTAAATTACAGCATGATCCCTTCACATTCCGCCAGAACAGGTCAAAATGTTCGTCAGCGGTATTTAATATTTATTTCCGTCTCCATTTCATCTTGTAGGTGGCAATTTGTTTTGTTTGCCGTATAAGGAGTGCAGCGGGTTTGTTTCCAATTCCCTCTTCTCGATGTCCACTCGTCGGCATTTGAAGGCGTGGGAACACCGAAATAGCACCCAAAACAGGTGCATTTCTCCCATTTTTGATTGCGAACAAAAGGGTTGCGGGGAATTTGGAAACTTTAATTTTTGACTTGACATAACAATGAAGGAGAATTGGTGGAAAATTAATTTTTTTTGTTGAAAATTGAGAGAATTTTTTGCCGAAAAAAGCGATTTTTTTGGATGGGTTGTGACATAAAAGTCGGGTCCTACGGTATCTTATCACATATTTTGAGGTATTTTACATGTACTCACATCAATAATATCTAGATAGAAGTTATGAATCTTCATTTTTTCCCCCAAATTTTGATCTTTTATATATTTCATTAACTTGGAGTAAAGAAAACTAACGTTAGTAATAACTAAAATTAGAAAAAGTGTACAAATTTCAAGCCTCCGCCAAGTCTCCGCCGAGCCTTCGCCGAGTGTCCGCCGATAATCTGACGGCTTTTCCAGGCCTCGTAGGCACTTCCTACAACCTTTTTTTGGGTATCCGCCAGCCTTCCGCCCTGTATCAAAAGAGATTTTTAGGCCTGTGTTTGCAAAGGCAATCGAGATTTTTTGGTCTTAAAATGAAAAAAAAAATATTTTTTTATTTTTCAAAAATAAAAATTGCCATTTTTCTCAAACAATAAATTAAGAAATTTAAAAAAAAAATCGTTTTTTCTGGCACAAAAAAGTATTTTTCTCCGACCGTCTCTCCTCATTTTCCATGATGTCTCGCCTAAAAACCTCGTTCAGTATCTCGGCTGAGGGTTCAAAATGAAGGCTGAAAATTTTAGAGAATAATACATGGTCTATTAGCGTTGTTGTGACAAAATTTTAAGGCATTCCAAAGTTTGAGTTTAAAGAAATTTTTCGAGTAAAAAATTGGCAAACTTCTTCGAAAAAATCGCATTTTTTGCGGTTGAGTTCTTCATAAATATTTAGAAAAGGAATGAGAATACGATAGAGGACCCTCAGTAAAAATTTCAACACCAAAAAATTCGAAAAATTTGTGTAAATCATCAAATTTTGGCCAAAATCTCGGTAATTTCCCTATACTTCGAAAAAAATTCAAATTTTAACGCTGACATTCAAAGTTTAAATGCTCAAAATGACTTTAGAAGAGTCTCTCGTGCCATTTCCAAAGATCTGAAGGGGTTTTGAAAGTCTTGTTACTTCCCATTCCTTTGTCATTTCATTTGTTTGACAATGAGCCGTCAAAATTTTGGGATTTCGTTTCTGACAAAATGATCATTGTCTGATCCACTCGGAGAAGAAAAAATGTCACGTTGAGCTCATTTTTGAGGTTTTTAAAAGTATTTTTTGGTTTTCCTTTGGTTTTATGAGTAAAAAAATTTTGGGATTTTTTAAAATTTTCCGGAGAAATTGTCAAACTTGACGTGAGAATTTTAATTTTCAGACCTAAATTTGAATTTTTAATATGGAAATAGACTTTTTATTTTGCGTGCCGACCCGACACCAACGTTTCCGTTGCACTGGGCATTGAAAAAGGGTTCATTCCTTTACTTTTTTTAAAAATTGTACCCAATTTTAATCGGTTTTGGGAATTGTCGAGCTAGTTATTGATGGGAAGTGGTACAAACAAGAAGGAATGGGATTTTTGGGATATACCTGAACTTTGAGGGAAAGTGACATTTTATACGATGAAAAGTGTTTTGGGATTTTTTAGAGGGCATGAAAAGAGTCTATAGTCGGGAAATTATCGTAGTAGGCACAAAAAATATTATTGCTGAAAATTCGGGATTTAAATAGATGGGGACATTTTATACGATGAAATATGTTTTGGGATTTTTTAGAAGTGATAAAAAGATTTAATAGTCGGAAAATTGTCGTAGTAGGCATAAAAAATATTATCGCTGAAAATTTTAGAATTAAAAGGATGGATACATTTTATACGATAAAAAATTTTTTTGGGACTTTTTGGGGGTCGTAAAAAATTTCATTTCAGCGAAGGCCCGATTAGCTAGAAAAAAATCTTATTGTTGAAAATTCGCGATTTCAATATCTGGGGACATTTTATACGATGAAATATGTTTTGGGATTTTTTAGAAGTGGTAAAAAGATTTAATAGTCGGAAAATTATCGTAGTAGGCATAAAAAATATTATCGCTGAAAATTTTAGAATTAAACCAATGGAGACATTTTATACGACAAAAAAATTTTTGGGACTTTTTGGGGGTCAAAAAAAATTTGATTTCAGCGAAGGCCCGATTATTTAGAAAAAAATCTTATTGTTGAAAATTCGCGATTTCAACATCTGGGGACATTTTATACGATGAAAAGTGTTTTGGGATTTTTTGGGTCTTATAAAAAGAGTTCATAATCGGAAAATTATCGTAGTCGGCACAAAAAATTTTATTGGCAAAAATTCTAGATTTAAAAATATGGCGACATTTTATAAAAATTTGCTTGAGGTTTTCGTGATTTTACGATTTTTTTTAAAATTTTTTGTGTAAATTATAATCTGAAAAGCGACCGTTTACCCTTTTTTCTTACGTGGTTCCCTCGTTTCCATTTGATTTTTTTATCCGAATTACTTTCAGCTTCCCCTCCATTGCCCATTCTTGGGCAAATGCTGGCTTGGTGCCGTTGCCCAAAATTCTACGGGTCGCTGCGCCGAATACAGTACTTATACTGTAAGATTTTTTTTATTTCCCATTGTTTTTGAGTTTAGGACTCATTTTCTGGTTTTTTATTTATGCAAATTTTTGAAAAATTTAAAATCCCAAATTTTTAAATATGCAAATTTTTCAAAATTTCAAACAAAAATTTTCAGCAAAAAACTCCCTGAGGCTACTCTCTGTGATATTCCTCACCATCCTCCTTCTCCCTCCAGCCTCAGCGGCCGTTCATTCGTTGCCCTTGAGCAGGCATAGTAGACATCGCCTACAGTGTATGACTTGTGTCATGGTACCCGGCGACACCACGCAATTGGACCAATTTCGGGTCCGACAGAACTTGATTGAACCCTGGTGCGAGATGGAGCCGGTGGAGTGTTCGGCTCAGCAAGATACGTGTGTCACGGTTAGCATGCAGGTAAACACTTCAAAAAATAAAATTTTTGACAATAAAGGTTTTTTTATCGTATAAAATGTCCTCTTATCTGTTGTTAGACAAAATGGAAGATTTACTTAGCGTATTTTTAGCCACTCATGATTTTAATTTTTCATAATTTCTCAAAAATCCCAAAATTAGAAAAAAACCTGTTTCATCGTATAAAATCTCACTCCTGACAATTTTTTTGCATACCATATTATTCAATATTCTATCATTGCACCACTACCAAAATTTCCATGATTTTTCAAAAAAAGTCGGAATTTCCTCAAAACACCTTTCATCGTATAAAATGTTACTTTCTTATAAAAACGCCACACTTGCCCCAACAATCAATTTAGATGGTCCTAGGAACATTCAGTGGAATAAACTGACCATTTTTTCACTCTAAAAATCGCTTTTTTTCCAGGTTGCAACTCGCCGATTTTGGATGGGCGCAGGCTGCGATCAACGCGTAAATTATGACATCCCATCGGATCGGGACGGCTGCGCGGAGCTTCAGACGTTCACACGCAACATTCAGCCGGGCTACATGGAGGAACGAAGAGCTTTTCAGCAGGTCTGTCTGTGCTCTACGCCTCTCTGTAACAGCTCTAGTAGGTCTAGTATAACATATTTTTTGGTAATGTTTTGCTTAGTTGTAGTGTTCAGGATACGATGAGATTATGCAGGATGCTATTACGATATCCCAATTTGTTTTCTATACGGAAAATATTACATATTTGAATCTTTTTCGCCAAAAATTCGAAAAATTACCTTATTTTTGCCCCAAATTTGATGATTTTTGCATTTTTTTTGGACAAAAGCATCTTTCAAATTTTGTACAGCGTATTCTGAACCAAAGCTGGATATGTTATAATGTCTACCGAACCGAAACATATGAGTTTTTTTCGCCCACATTCCACCCATTTTATACGTTATTTATCAGCATTCATGAAGGTTGTAAATCTGGTTGGAAATGGATAACATCTAAAAAATTATTTTTGAATATGCAGTTTAAGACTATGTTATAGCACTGGCTGTTAATTTCAGGCCGTATTTTACAAGTTTTCTAAAAAATTATTTATTTTTTTTTTGGCTAAAATGACATATTTTCAATAAAAAAATGATGATTTATCCATTTTCAATTGGTATTTCGACTATTTCGGGTTGTTCTACGGGTATTTAGTCCTATATTCATGGTGTTTTTAGTCTTTTTTTGCAATATTTTTTTTTAAACAATTGATTTTTTTTTTGATTTTCAAAATGGAGATTGATTTTCTCCCCCAAAACTTCTCCATCCTTGTACTAAAATTCTTTCAACGCGACATTTGTTGCAATAATTACCTTACACTGTCAATAACAAACATAATTCCAGTATCTTTTTCATTTTTATTTTTATTATAAATTTGTATTGTTTTGAACAAAATATTATGTCAAATGATTGAATAAACTTTATCAACCGGTTGGTTAGTCGTTTGATGATTTTTCGTATACATGGTGGCATTTACTAGGCGGGCCAAAAAGTCTTGACATGTTTTCGCACCGTGCGGGCGCATGAATTCGGTGTCGCGACGAGGTGTCGCGCGATAAAACCTTTGGCGGGGTGCGAATGAAGAACGCACTGTGCGTTGTTTACCCTTTTCAAAACAATCTTTTTTGCACTGTGCGGTGTCGCATTGCACCGTAAATTTTTCTTGTCGCCGCGCGACAAATTGCATGCACGACGGCGCACTGTGCAGACATGTCAAGACTTTTTGGCCCGCCTAGTACCGCGTCCCGACTTTTCGGGTCGACGACAGTTTGAGTCAACAGAATATCGATCGATACGGGGCGTAGGGCAGGTAGATACCCATAAAAAGTTGTAGGAAGTGCCTACGAGGTCTGGAAAAGCCGTTGGATTGCCGGTGGACGCTCGGCGAAGGCTCGGCGGAGACCCAAAAAGGTTTTCCAGGTATTAATTACAATGCCTGGAATTTTAGGCCTTGTGTGAGGCCTAAAATCGACTGAGCTTCGTGCATTTTCCCACCAGGAACGATCTGCATTTATTCAGATTTTATTGTATTAGGTTGATACAAAAGTTTTTACACATTTTTTTGAGACACTTCAAAATAAAATTCCTGGAGCCTGATTGAATGTACGTTAAAACTGAAAGCATAGATGTATGGGGCAGAACATTGCAAAATTTTTGATTCGTGGCATTTTATTTTCTACAAGCTTCCTTTCAGAATATTTCAAAAATACTAAAAATTTCTCCGTTTGTGTCATCGTGAATATCCTGGGCCCTAGCAATTTTCCAGCCCACTAAAAAGTCTCGGATTTTGGGTTATTCGTACTGGGGATGGCTGTAGTTTCTTCTGAATTTATTGCTCTACTTATATCTACACTGACGTTTTTTGTAGCATCCCATAAAGTTGGCCGGAGAGCCGAGCTACCGATCAAAAGCAGATTTTTAAAAATTTTTTGAAAGGAGTTAGATTTTTTTGACTCGGCTGCCATTCAGGTTGTACAAAGACAGTATGCTGATGATACATTCAAAAAGTCACCAACTGAAATTGCCTTATAAGGTAGAAAAGTAGCATAAACTGCACTTTTAGGCGAATTTTTGTAATTTTTTTAATGGTATTTCAAGAGGACCTTCAGCTTAGCGCGTCTAGCAACTGATAGTATATGTCAAGTAGGATCCATTATTTATTAAATAACTAGGATACCGGGCGAGAGTAATGAACAGAAAACGTTTTTGTAAAAATCCCCTAAATTACGTAAAATATTGGTAGATTAAAAAGATTCGATTTTTCTGCCGCATAGCTAAAGCTAGCGCGAATGTTTAGCATTGGCGTTGTAGTGCTACTCATACACTACAATAACAGAAAGCGTTATCACTTAGTGCTTCTAATAGCTGCGTCTACAGGGTCTACTTTTGCCAGACCCTAATTTTTGATTTTTCGCACTAAAAATTTTTCGACTAGCCCTATAGCAAATTGTCGTCGATGCCATAGAGATTACATACAGGCATACCATATTCTAGAATATTAAGAAGATACAGCCACTCTAGACGTAACGCCGGCGGTTTACTTTTTCTTCCTTCGAGTAGTTAAGGTTTAACACGGCGCTACTACTACAAATTGCTAAGTTGTAAAAAGTTATTAATCTACTATAATCTACAAACAGCCCTCTTTCTAACAAGATATATATCAGGCCCACTGGCTTTGGTCTAAATTTTTTAAAATTTTTTAAAGACATGTGGAAAAACTTTTGAATCAACCTAATAGTTTCCTGCGTGGGGCTACCCAACAAAAGGCCTCCTTTCACCTGAATAAATCACTTAACTTTTGAGCTTTCATGTTGTCTGCTTACTGGGTTATCGGGCTTGTCGTCACCTTGTGAACATGGGTGCTCGGCGAAGCCTTGGCGGAGACTTGGCGAAGACTTTTTTCCGGTCGACGATAGTTCGGGTCAACATAAAATCGATCGATACGAGGCGTGGGGCAGGTAGATGCCCAAAAAAAGTTGTAAAAAGTGCCTACGAATCCTGGCGAAGCCGTTGGATGCTCGGCGGAGGCTTGGCGAAGACTTTTGAATTCATTCATTTGTTTTTCACCTTAGCTGACATCAGTCGTAGCGCCGATATTTTCAGAGTCTTTTTTGAACTATCATCACTGTCCGACTCAAATGCCCTCGAAATCAAGTACCTTTTTTGTATATCTCGCTGATGATCCCCGCGTCAATTGTGATGTTGTAAGTGCCCAAAAATTGGTAGCTCCGTTCATTGTAATGGAGAGCTCGGCACAGAACGTTGAATATCTTGGCTGCCCTTGAAATGGGCGAGCTAAAATTTTCAGGACTTTATACACGGTCTACACAAAATGGGGGTGTAGAATGTCAGAAAAATCGGAGTGTCTCAATTGGGACAATCTTCTCGTAAACCAAAACATAGATACCCGCAGAACAAAAGCTTTTACCTCTCATTTTTTTGAAAGTGTTTTCGTACTTTTGCGTGACTCGCCTAATTGAAAGGCCAATTCGTCGCTTTCAATTTCCCATTTGTCATGATTTCCCGGCCGAATTATGTTCAAACAGAACATGTGCCAAAAGAGTTTTCGGCGAGTTGAAGAAATCGAGAGGTCGGATTTGGCTCTTGAAAGTGTCGAATGGTGGTTTTGGTGCAATTTTTTTCGTAACATACGTCAAATTCTATTTTTCTCCTAACATTTTGCAGTTTTTGAGGAAACTATGAGATCACACAAAGTTTTAGCCGAAAAACGGGACTTTTAAAGGGTTTGAGACTAAAAATTCGGCGTTACGACTTTTTCGGATTAGCGGCATTTCGGGTCAACGATACTATATCGCGTCGGTCCGTGATTTTATGCATGGCAGAGGCTAAGAGAAGGCTTATTTAGCAGAAATAATAAGATTGCTTGGGTTCTAGGATAGCGTATCATATATTTTTGAGGTATTTCACACGTACTCATTTTTGTCCTTTATATGTTACAATAACTCAGGGTCAAGAAAGCTAGAGTTAGTAATAGCCAAGATTATAAAAAGTGGCCATATTTCAAGCCGCCGCCAAGCTTTCGCCAAGTCTCCGCCGAGCCTTCGCCAGGCGTCCGCCGAGTATCCAACGGCTTTGCGAGGCCTCGTAAGCACTTCTTATAATATTTTACCGCAGAGACTAACGTTTCCACATAGATCGAAAGTCGGCGAAAAATTGAGACTTTTGGACGAGTTTTGGCCTTAAAAGTTTCATGCTTATTTCTGCTGTAGAAAGTAATGTTTCTAAACAAAGCCATTTTTTCCACACAACACTGGCAATGATATGGCCAAAAAGTTTTCATCTCTGTAACCGCTTTAAGGTCTCGACCTGTCCTACGCCTCTATTTTGTGTTCATCCGAACTGTCGTTGACCCGGACGCCATCATACAAACGCCGACTGAAGATTTTTTTGGTATTATACTTTTATATCCTTTTATATACTTATAATTTAACTTTAATGGTCTCTGTTAAATCCATCTCCTCCATAAAATCGCACTTTCACTCGGCGGGACGGACCCAGAAAAGCAAACGGAACGACAGGTGTCCGAAGGCTAAATGACTCGGCAATTATGACGTGTCCTCTTACCCGTTTTTTCAACAAGCGTTGATAAACCTGGTCGGAAATAAATAAAAGGACGTTCTTTGTCTTGAGTTGTTAGGAATAACTTGAACAGAATGTGAGATTAAAATTGGAGATTAGATGAGAGAGCAGGGAAATTGAGTAGAGTTGGTTAGAGAACATTTTTTTAAAAAATTTTCAAACGAAATCAAAGCAAAGACGTTGTTGTCTTTTTATTTTTATCGACCGGATATGGAGTGTTACAGCGCTAAACTTAGAGTAAGAGGAAAAAGGATTTTCGGCCAGATTTTTACCAAAGCTGTAAAGAAACCTCAAATTTTCTTATAGTCCTGGGTTCGATTCTTTCTGCAAAGCGCGATTTTCAACTTTTTCGCTTGTCTTGAAAAAAGTTTGCCCTAAATTTGAGTCAAATTTTATTAAAAATTCTCCCGACTTCGGTTCGACGACAGTTCGGGTTAACACAAAAATCTATCGATACGGGGCGTAGTGCCGGTGAATACGTCAAAAAAAGGCCGTAGAAAGTGCCTACAAGGCCTGGCAAAGCCGTTGGATTATTGACGAATGCTCGA